AATAATTTCAAACCATGGTCAACTTGATGATTTCCATGCAAAAGCTCATTCGACGCGACATTTGTGATGATACCTCATTTTTTTTATTCAGTCGACCTGTTTGGCTTAAAAACAGTTGCAATACCATATAAGCAGGTAAACTTTTCATGGTTCGGTTTGGTTTAATGGGTTTTTAATGTCCTATTAACAGCAAATGTCATTTAAGGACGTGCTTCCATGTGTGTAATGTATGCGAGCGTGTGTGTAATTGTACTGGAGGCAAGGTATGTTGGTGTATTTGCCTCATTCCGTCAGTGACATCGGGTTAATACCGTACACACGAATTATATCAGACAACTTATAAAGAAACCTATATATAAATATTTCACACGATGCTTACATATTAAAACTATACTATATAAGACATCTGATATAAACAATTATAAAAGATTTCTTATTTAGCAAAATTATATAAGATATTTTATTATATAGAAAATCATTTATAACTTTATAAAACACAGGATCGACATCCCTCTCTGAATAATCCTACATCTTCCGCCCACTGGAAAATCTTTGTCTCAGACACACCTTTTAAAAATGTTTTAAGATACTGCATGGCAGACCATATGAAACAAATTATCTATATATTAGTTTAACCATCGCGTTGACATCGCATGCCAATCTTACTATATTTACTACCTTATATATGTACACGTATTTCTATATCTGCTGCCTACGATCTTACTATATTTACTGCCTTATGTATGTACACGTATTTCTATATTTAATGCCTACGATGTTACTATATCTACTGCCTTATATATGTACACGTATTTCTATATCTACTGTCTACGATCTTACTATACTTACTGTCTGCTATCTGACAATAATTTTATGTACAGTGTCTTAGTGTTCACTTGCGTTAAGTGGGCAGTAACCATAATGAAGTGTCAACAACAGACAGTTTTAAGTACAGGCAGTTGACAGTTCGGACGGGACCGTAGCGTTTATAATCCGCACAGTAGTGCTATCCAAAACATAAATATGATATTAGAGTAATCTGCTCTTGTGTTTCCGGGAAAAAAAGTTGGTTCTGACAGGTGCTTGCATATATATATGAAAAACATGTTTTAGCGATTGTGAAAGAGATGACATTGTGTTTTACCTTTATATATGTGGGTCTCTGATATTGTTAACATCTGTCATATTATATACAAACATTTAAAACATTCAATAAAGCCCCATAAGGCATATATGAATTCAGAAAAATATAGATACAGACAAAAACATACAAAACATATTCAAATTATTTGACAAAAAGAAAAAAAACCTGGAAACATGCAAGTAATTTTTTTTATCGTGTGGTATAGGGGAGACAACTCTAAATATTCTAGTCGTGGGTACATCATTATATCAACTACATTGTACATGTAGTCAAAAACTTATCACAGTTACATTTAAATAACTTCCAATCTTTTTAAAAAAATAATTCACACATTTATGCTGAAAAAGTATAAGAAAAGAACAAGAGGCCCAGAGGGCCTGTATCGCTCACCTGGATATTTGAGCAATCATGGGAAAATATTCTCAATGTAAGTACTTTTGCAAATATTTCCATATATTGAATCTCCTTGGCTGAAGTATGTTCCAGACTAAATTAAACTTTATACTACTCTATCTCAGCATGCTACTGGTCAAATATCATCACCAAGGGGCTCAAATGATATTGTGGAAGAAGTATTCACATATTTGACCCATGTGACCTTGAAAGTAGGTCAATGACATTTATTGTGAGAATCCCTTATAAGTATCATTACTCTGGACATCCTTGTTATTCTGAAGAAGTTAATTAAAGACTTTTAAATAATTGAACCCTATGACCTTGAAAGTAGGTCAAGGTCATTTGTTTGAAAAAAACCCTCTTTTCCAAGGTACCTTTTGGCCAATATTCAAATGAAGATATTTAACAGTTTTTAAACTTATTTGACCCTTGTGATCTTTAAAGTAGGTCAAGGTAATTTATTTGAGGAATGTTTACATCACTTCATGCCAGATACCTACTGGTCAAGTCTTTTTACTCTGGGCCTCCTGTTTATTCTGAAGAAGTGGTTATATTATTTTTTTACATATTGGTCTTCTGTGACCTTGAACGTAGGTCAAGGTAATTCATTTGAGGAAAATGTACATAACTCTGTCCCAGGTACCTACTTGCCAAATATCTGTTCTCCTGGCCTCCTGGTTATTCATCAGAAGTTTTTTTTTTTGTAATTTTGATTCATGTGACCTTGAAATAAGGTCAAAGTAATATATTTGAGGGAAGTTAAAAGCACTCTGTCCCACCCAGGTACCTACTGGCCAAATAGCATTGCTCTAGACCTCTTGGTAATTCAGAAGAAGTTGTTTAAAGGTTTTTACATATTTAACCCATGTGACCTTGAAAGTAGGTTAAGGTCATTTATTTAAGAAAAATGTTAAGCACTCTGTCGCAGGTACCTACTGGCCAAATATCATGGCCCTAGATCCTCCAGTTCTTACAACGAAGAAGGCTGGGGGAAATATAATATTTGAAAAAAAAAAAGCATTCAAAGAAAAAGTTGACAGACGACGGACAAAAATAAACAAGTTAAAAATAAAGTTACAACAAAATAACAACTACTTATTTAATTATTTTTCTATGTTTTCCTGGACTGATCTTTTTACCTCATACAGACAAACTAACTTAACAAGATGGATGTCAGGACCGATGTAGAATCAATTGTATGGATCAGTCTGAATAAGTGCTGGACACTTATGATGGTAACTTCATTTTGTCAACGAAAAGATCTGAAGTAATGATAAAAACAATGTTAAATTAAATGCCAAACAATTCAAACCAAACTTGTCATGGTAATAGAACTTAATGTGTTCAGACATCCAAGGAACTACAAGAATTTGGACAGCACGAGGACAACACTGGGGAGAGGATGTATAGATCTGTGGGGTATGTAAGGAGCCCACTTGTTCTTACAACATACAGAGACATACAGAGGAGAAACCATTCAAGTGTGATGAGCATGGCAAAAGATTCGCACATAATTATAACTCTACAGAAACACATCTTGATGCATTCTGAAGACAATGATAAAGCATGTATGTGTGATCTTTGGGATAAATGCTTTAATCAATAAGACTGCCTTCAGAAACATCGGTTACTGTGCTTTGGTGAGAAACCCCATACCTGTGACACATGTGGAAAGGGGTTTACTCTGCCAAGGTATTTACACGAGCATGCTAGGACACATAAAATTCAATCAGTGGAACTCTTCAGAAACACATGCTTACCCATACAGGGGAGAGATTCTGAGAGTAGCCCAAGTTTCCTCTGGCCCTGACACCAGACTTGGACATTTTGACAGATAAATGTCTGATGTCAGGGCCAGAGGAAACTCAGACTAGGTAGAGAGCATTTAAGTGAGCACATTGCTGGAGAGGATTTACCACAAATTCTAATCTACAGCAACATGTGGAACCCAGAAGCCCTTCGGTAGTGACCTTTGTGGGATTGAATTTATGTTATAACATCAGCTTCAAGTCCATCATAGAAGAAAAACATACAGTGAAAACATACGGTGAAATCCTAGGAGCATCTGGTTACATGGTGTCAGATGGGGACAAAGCTGCCCCCCAAAATATCGTGATATCTTCAAGCTAAGAGTAATGGTCTGTGTGCACATGTGCTAAATGCAGACTAACGTATGAGGTGTACATATTGTATACTAGTTGTGGTTTATTGGCATCACATATTTTTGTATCTAACACCTGTGTCTGTTAAAAAGAATGTTTAATCTAATTCTACATTAAAGCACTCCTGAACCACTGCTAAACCTAACTATGCATTGGAAAATACGAAATCACATTTGTGTAAAAGAGGCCACCAATTAAAAGGCTTGAGTGTGGTATCCAAACAGAGGAGGTCTTACAACAGGGGTGGTCTCCTATAGAGGTGGTCACTTAACAAAGATAGTCACTGAACAGAGATAGTTGCTTAACAGAGGTGGTCACTTAACATAGGTGGTTGCTTAACAGAGGTGGTCACTTTACAGAGATGGTCGTTTAACAGAGGTGGCCACTTTACAGAGATGGTCATTTAACAGAGTGGTCGCTTAACATATGTGGTCTTTCAACAGAAGTGTACTCCTATGGAGGTGGTCATTTAACAAAGGTAGTTGCTTAACAGAGGTGGTTGCTTTACAGATGTGGTCTCTTAACAGATGTGGTCGTTAAACATATGTGGTCGCTTAACAATTTTGGTTTCTTTACAGATGTGGTCACTTTACAGAGGTGGTCAAGTTAAACAGTGCTAATATATAGTAATTTTTCATCACTAACTTTTGTACTGTAACAAAATGGGCTGTAATAAGGTACTTGCTCAACTAGTGTGGTCTTCTTACTGATGTGGTCTACTTAATGAGGTGGTCACTTAACAAAGGTGGTCTCTGATCAGAGTTGGTCACTTAAGAGAGCTGGTCTCTAATAGAGCTGGTCACTTAACAAATGAGGTCGCTTAACAGAGGTAGTCTAGTTAAAAAGTATTAATATAAAGTAAATATGAATTCATCACCACTAAGCTGTTTGTCGTGTACTGTAACAAAATGGGCTGTAATTAGGCACATTATGATAAAGAATGGAACCATCTTGTCAGACAGCGGTACTGCTAATTATATAAGGTGAAGGTCAGCAATGGTTTAAAGGTCAGTTTATTGTATTGCTTTACAATACTTAACATTGTCCTTTGTCCTTAGGTTGTAAAAAGTATAAAGCTGTTCAAAGAAATTCTGTATTGATAGACCACAAACACCACAACATAGATTTAGCCCACAAACACTCATACCAAATGAGCTAAAAACATAATCAGTCTTCAAAACAAATTATAGTACAGTTGTTGTTTAGCAGAGAAATACCAATGTGCAGTTATACATTAAATGGTACGTGAGTTGGTGTACTAATGAATTGTAAAGATAAAGAAAAACAATGAAGAATATGACATTTATTATTATTCATAAATACTGACAACATGTAAAACTCAATATAACATTGAGCTTTTTGGCACAGTTACTTTTGCTCTTATTTAACCTTAGGTTTCAAATTATAACAATAGCTTTGGCTTGACATGTACACTATTTCCTGAACAGACAAGAGGGTATAGTAGTCCTATGATATATTACGGTACAGTGCATCCCTTTCATACTATACTTAATTGTGTACAGTAATCATTGTTTGTAGTATTCTTGTGAACAGTTATTCCCCTTTGTAGTATTCTTGTGAACAGTTATTCCCCTTTGTAGTATTTTTGTGTACAAGTGACCTGTACATACTTATAACAACTTAATAGAAACAGATTGACCAGCCATTCACAATAATAACACAGTAAACATCCGCTGTACTGGCCATAAATAACAGTTCTCTAGCTATATTTCTCCTGTAATAAGCCCATCCACCTATTTTGAGAACATGTGTTGGCCCACTGGGCTTATTGCAGGGTAAATACAGTATATTATTTAGATTTTTATTATATAATGTATTTAATTTTTATAAAACATAGAAATAAGTTATTCTATAGCGCTCATCAACATTAAAGTCATAACAAGACATAAATTCAACACAATCACGCAGAATCACTCTTTCCAATTCATATAAGATTTATTAAATGACTATTAAGTTTTCACGCACCGATAAGTGAAACTATTCTAAAATTAAAATCTCGGGACAAGTTGAATAAATCTTATGAAATCGAACATGACTACTCGGTATCACAAAACAAAGAAATACACCAGTATTATACCAGATATTAACAGTTTCACTGATCATGAACATCAGCAAGTTTTAATGATGTCATTTATTTTATCGTAATTGTGACTTCATTGTAAACCAGCTGCTGTATGACACCAGAACGATTGTACGTGTTACCAGTCACATATACTAAAGATATTACATAGACATATTGCCTATAATATATAGCACTTAACCCAGGAATTGTCTGATAAAATATTGTATTGTACGAGAGCTACATGTCAATGACATTTTCTCTAAGACATACTGATACAAAAGTGTACTGCTATAGATAGGGAAATTTGGAATATAATTTTCTCCTACGACCACTATAGGTTTCTTAACTCACAACTCATTGGATAAACCTCGGCCTGCTAAGTATAGGGGTTTGGTAAACATTTGCGATTGTCCACTAGTGGGTAACACAGGTTTCATCGGTCAATATTTTTTATTATGACGTCAAGTAACCATGCTTTTTGATGTCATCTTCCATTGAGAATTCGTAGTAACACTGGTATCATCGGTCAATATTTTTATTATGACATCAAATAACAATGCTTTGTGATGTCATCTTCCATTGAGAATTCGTAGTAACACTGGTAACATCAGTCAATATTTTTATTATGACGTCAAGTAACAATGCTTTGTGATGTCATCTTCCATTGAGAATTCGTAGTTACACAGGTATCATCGGTCAATCTTTTTATTATGACGTCAAGTAACCATGCTTTGTGATGTCATCTTCCATTGAGAATTCGTAGTAACACTGGTATCATCGGTCAATCTTTTTATTATGACGTCAAGTAACCATGCTTTGTGATGTCATCTTCCATTGAGAATTGGTAGTTACACAGGTATCATCAGTCAATCTTTTTATTATGACGTCAAGTAACCATGCTTTTTGATGTCATCTTCCATTAAGAATTCGTAGTTACACAGGTAACATCAGTCAATCCTTTTATTATGACGTCAAGTAACCATGCTTTGTGATTTCATCTTCCATTGAGAATTGGTAGTTACACAGGTATCATCAGTCAATCTTTTTATTATGACGTCAAGTAACCATGCTTTGTGATGTCATCTGGTTAAACACTCTAGATCTGAAAACCTTGTGCCGTTACACAATTTGAAAATGAAAAAACACGAGTTAGATAACCATAATAACTGACCAGTGCTTGTAGGGGAAACCTCTATATTTATATTATATAGCTTTGATTCCATTCCAAAAGATTAAATGTATTGCTATCACACTCTGTGTGAGGCACCAATGAGTTCTTAAAGGGAATCAGAACCCCTCTGCCTCAATATTTTCTGCACATCACCAATGTTTAGCCTGGTTGCCTTTAGTTTATGCAGATATACATAAATATCATCGGCCAGCGCTTTCCGACATTATCGTAATGACATCGCAAATGCTTGTTGTTGGATTTATTGAAAATCTAAAGCGATTTGAAGAACAAATACAGACTGAAGCAATACTGTATCAATTGTAATAAACTATATATGACTATTATTGAATAAACGGTCAATATATATTGCTATACTATTTGTGTGAGAGTTATCTCCCTTGATTTTTAAATTGCGGTGTATACCAGTATGCAACTAGCATATATCGGACTAATAGAACAGTCCAGATCTGTTCTTCACTGAAGACTACTGATAAACATGCACAGAATATATTGTCAACAACTTATAATTTAATTTTTGTTATTAAATGTCAGCAAAAAAAGTTACATTTCCACTTTTGGCTAAAAAATTTGGGTAGGTACAGTCAGGCAAAACTCTGACGATGGAGTATTTTTACAGTGATTATAAACAGCATTTAAAACTGTAACAGTTCTTGTTAAAAATTCTGTAATAGATTTAAAAGCTAGGATACAATATAGCCTGAGTTTCCTCTGGCCCACATAACAGACTCAATTCATTTTGACAGATTGATGTCTGGTATCTATATATATATATCTGTCAAATTGTCCAAGTCTGGTGTCAGAGCCGGAGGAATCTCTGGCTAAGCTTAGTTTCTTAAATATAGTGACAGGGGAAACACATTGACTTTTTTGCATTAAATATGCTATATGTACAGCTTCCACTTCGCGCAGTGATACCTAATTAATATTTACAAGGATCAATCTAGGTTTTAGGGAAAACAACTCTTTTTCAGATTTGGGGGAATTTTGATACAAGGCTCTAGTGTCATGAAGGTAAAAGGTAAAAGATAAAATTTTGTCTCACATACATGTGTATACTGTTTTTCTTTAAAGAAAGCATTATAGGGGAAATATGTTGAAGAAAAACGGCTATTTTCTTGTTGAAATAGGTGAATTTTGAAGCACATAGGGTAAATTGCAAATAACAGGGGAATTTTCTTCTGTAGGGGAAACTACCCATAAATGGTAGTGAATCAAATCTAGATTGATCCCTGATTTAGTACATGTCACCATGTATAGTGAGTTATAATGCTGGCAAAATTAACCATGCCTGATGGAAGTGATGTCAATACAAATATATGTACTTAAAAAACAGACCTGATTACGTATACTTCATTACACAATCAAGGAGGTCTCAGGTGTCGGTATAATGTCTAGTTTACTCATGGACATGTGTAACTCTACATGTCTTCTTAAACTGCTACTCTGACTGAAATCTTTCTCACAAAGGTGACATTTGTAAGGCTTTTCGCCCGTATGAATTCGCATGTGAATCTGGAGACTACCACTCTCATTGAAACGCTTGTCACATACGGCACATGTGTACGGTTTCTCACCCGTGTGTGTCCTGATGTGTACCTGTAGTATCTCCTTCTTGTTGAACCGTTTTTCGCAGATATTACACCCATAGGGGCGTTCTCCTGTGTGTATACGGGTGTGTCTCTGTAGACTACTACTCATGCTGAAATCCTTCCCGCAAACCTCACACTTGTACGGCTTTTCCCCTGTGTGTATTCTATGGTGTTTTTGCAGACTTCCTTTCTCACTAAACCCTCTGGAACAGATTTTACATTTGAATGGTTTCTCTCCTGTGTGAGTTCGCAGGTGCTTTTTCAAATTAATTTTGATACTGAATTCCTTCTGACATATCCCACAGGTGAACATTCTCTCTCCTGTGTGTAATTCAATGTGTTCCTGTAGGTTTCCTTTCCGACGAAATTCTTTCCCACATAAATGACATGGGAAAGGTTTCTTCCCAGAGTGTATTTCAAGATGTGCTCGTAGTCCACCATTCCGTGCAAAACACTTACCGCAAATCTCACAAGAAAAAGGCTTGTCCCCCAAATGGGATCGAGAATGTTTCACCATACTAGGTTTTGTGCGAAAGCAGACACCACAAATTTCGCATGAATACGTCCCTTTTGTATGAACCCTTGAGTGTTTATGCAGGTTACCATTGTCACTGAATACCTTACCACATATTTCACATTTGAAAGGCTTTTCTCCAGTATGTATTCGGAAATGTTTCTTTAAATCACACGGCTGACGAAAAGTTTTACTGCAGACCTCACACTGGTATTGTTTATCATTTTGGTGACTTCTGGTATGTTCCTGAAAACGTTCTATTTGAGAAAATTCTCTACCACATTTCTTACAGGTAAAGAGCTCTTTTTCAAGTTCAATTTTATCAGGTTCGTTTCCTGGCTCACTGTCGTAGGCTTCATTTTCTGACTCACTTTTGTAAGACTCGTTTGCTAGTTCACTGTTGTAAGGTTCGTTTCCTGGTTCACTGTTGTAAGCTTCGTTTCCTGGCTCACTGTTGTAAGCTTCGTTTCCTGGTTCACTGTTGTAAGGTTCGTTTCCTGGTTCACTGTTGTAAGCTTCATTTCCTGGTTCACTGTTGTAAGCTTCATTTCCTGGTTCACTGTTGTAAGGTTCGTTTCCTGGCTCACTGTTGTAAGGTTCATTTCCTGGCTCACTGTTGTAAGGTTCGTTTCCTGGTTCACTGTTGTAAGGTTCGTTTCCTTGCTCACTTTTGTAAGCTTCGTTTCCTTGCTCACTTTTGTAAGCTTCGTTTCCTGGTTCACTGTTGTAAGCTTCATTTCCTAGTTCACTGTTGTAAGCTTCGTTTCCTTGCTCATTTTTGTAAGCTTTGTTTCGTTGTTCACTGTTGTAAGGTTCATTTACTAGCTCATTATTGTAAGATTTGTTTACTGGCTCAGAATTATGATATAGTGGTTCATTTCCACAATCTGTTCTGATCTGTTCTTCCTGTTCATCTGGATTTGTCGGTTTCTTGTCATACACAATACTATGACATTTTACTGTGTCACTTGCCTGTTTCTCTCCTCCAGCCAGTTCATTATTAAACTCATCACTGAGCCCTCTATATGAGTAAGACTGAGGATGCTCACTCAGGTGAACACCAAGGTGACTCTGTAAGCTACTTAACTGTAGGAATCCCTCCCCACAGGTTTCACACCTGTACTTGCTAACATCTGTGTGTCTCTGAAGATGGTTGTACAAATGATCCTTTACACTAAATCTCTTACCACAAATCTCGCAGCAAAACCGCTTCTTGTCCCGTCGTGATTCTGGTTCGTAAGCCTCCTCCTGATCGCTTCCTCCATTCTTAACACTGCCTTGGTCACTCAGTGCCTCACTGTCACCATAATGAGAACTCGACTCTACAGGATCAGTAACGCCCATTTCAGCCTTTATATTGCAATTGATGTAAATTTCACTCATCAGTAAAGGATCATTCACAGAGTTTGAAGTCATTATGATAGTTAGTCACCGCATTTTAAAAAAGATTTTGGAAAGAATAAGTCCATAGACTGGTATGCTGACGGTAAGAGAGTCAAGGGGTCTGAAATAAAATAAATAAAAGTCCAGGTTAAAAACAAAATGATGTATTTGTATTTGTATGCTAAATGTAAACTTTAGGTACTATTTCTGTGTACAATGTATATGATGTACACTTTAATTTACCTATACATACGTATTGAACAGCATTTTTCAATGTTCATGACAGTATGAATACCATTCGGTTACATAAATTAACCACAAAGCACACTGTTGTTCAATACATAGAGGATCTGTCATGACTTTCACTTCGTATAACATTTATGATACAAGTTTTGGATTTTTCATGTTTGCCAGCCTCTCTGTGAGCAAATATGAAAAATCCAAATCGAGTATCATAAATATAATATGAAGGGAAACGAATGACAGATTTTTTTATCATATAATACAAAGTCAACTGTATAGTTGTGACTGATCTTAAACTAATATTTTGCAATAAGCCGCCTCTGAAATGATGAAAATTGTGTCCGCTTCACAATGACGGAAGCCACGTTGATTGTTCCTATTTGATTGCGATGTCATTTATGGAGTGATCAATTACACACGCTACATAAACATAATTTATGTGATGGCTTTATGACACTGCATATTTACATTCTAAATTTTATAGTTATTATTGATCTGTGAAAAATACATGTATAGATATTCAATTAGTGTCATCAGAACAAACTAGTCCCCAAGTTCAAATCCCTGACTGGCCATGCATTTTTCCACTCCTATTACAGGAGTAAATACAACCTTTGTCAATAATATATTATGTACATTGTATGTTATGTATACATACATTGTATATTATGCAGGTCCAGTACACTCTGCCGATTGAGCTATATAGCTGTAATGCCCTATAATAGTTCTATTAACCTATCTGAAATAGGTCTTTTGAGCTATTTTCATGTGATTTTCTTTTTTAAGGAAAACGAAACAAAGTCGCTTTTAAAAGAAGATTGTATCATTAGGTTGATAACAAAAGACAGTAGATATAAACATTCGTTTTAAAAAATAATGATGTAAAAAAATCGGAAATTTTACATTTATAAAAAATGAAAATAAACCTCCAACTGTATGCTTTTTGTAGTCAACATTACCATATATTTTAACCTTATTGTTTTATGCGACTTTGCTTAAACTTAATGAAAATTGAAATATGAGAAAATATAGCTCAATACAGCTATAATGTATAGGTGAATATAGCTATATAGGTCTTCATAGCTATACATGTATAGCTCAATCGGCAGAGTGTACTGGACCTGTTATGTACAATTACATACAAGTTGTCCGTGTATTATGTACAATATATGTTACAGTGGTATACAGATCTGTGTGCACCTGTGAGCGTTTGTTACTTCAGACTTCGTTATGTAGTTGAGGGCACATGAGTAATGGTTTCTTCAACTGGTATTGTGCTTTTAAGTTTTTAATTACAGTCGTTACATCAGCAAAGGGATGAAAACTCTCGTGTTATGCACGGCATAAATTATAGATTGTTGTCGGATAAGGAAGATGATCTGCTTGTCTAAGGACTAAGCTTATTATGTGTTGGCAGTTATATACATGCAGTGTAATTAAACAATTATCATCACAATACTTACCATTTATTTTTACCCATACTAACGTAAGATAGGCCTAAAATGCATGATATTATAACCAGTTCGTGTACACTGCTTGCTTACAGTAGTTGGGACGGAGTAAAATACGGATAAATATGACGGAAAATAATTAATTTGAATTTATTGGCATTGACAACAAAGGCGGTGTGGCATACGTAAAGAACGTGCGCATCCAATGCAATAATTTCAGTTGTAACAAATACTACTATTAAAATCATAATTAGTATTAGGTATATATACTACATAGCAACATTCTGGCCCAGGGGAAACAACTCTTATTGTGTCTTGTCAAACAATGGCATAGTTGGGTTTAAAATGGAGAATTTTAAGTTACAAAAGATGAAGTATTGTTCAAATATGGTTAGCAGCCGCATACATAACGGTATTAAACATGTCCCTATAGTTTGATATAATTTGTTCATTTTCATCGCAATAGATAAAGTGGTTTCATCCTCTGAATTTTTTCAAGGTTTGTTTATGTGAAGTACAAATGTATACTACTGTAGATGAATATAACTTTTTGTCAAAAGAATTTATTTTTTGACAAGTATTTTGTAACAGGATTTTTACATTACTATACAATACAGTTACAATATATATACATAACATGACATAACACAACCATATATATAAAGACACACACACTCATTCATTATCATACAAACATCAAAACAATTATCAGAAAGGAAAGGTAGGATTGTTGAAAATTTGTATTTCATTTTGAATTTCTAAGCTAGCTGTCAGTGTGAGCGTTTACTCAATATAACAATTATATTTATAAATTGATAAGTTACTTATGGTAAATCAGTCGTAATTTCAAGTTTGGGTGTTTCAAAAAAAGTTTTGCCATTTGGCTTATTCTCTTTGAAACTGGTCTAAGTAGCTTTCTCCCTTACTTCTAGCAACTTCTACTATTTTCTTATATTGTTAATGTATCAATTATGCTGAAGTTAATTTCTCATCCTTCGGAAATAGTATACTATATACTAAAATATTTAAAAGGCAGTGTTGGAAATATCCAGTTTTTTGTCATAACTGCTAAATTAGATGTACAAATAAATATTCTGAAATATGCATATGTGCACATCAGATTTGGAACAAAAATGTAAGTATCGAAGAACGGGTATCATTTGACAGAATTATATGTATTTTTTGTTGAGTTTGAACCGATAGATATTCATACAAGGATATGCTTGGTCTTAAAGCATATACAGGTTTTCTTGCTCAGTCTGTCAATAGTTCAAGGGCAAAAGTCAGTTCCATGTACGTTTGACTCGAATACAATGTCAATAGATTTGTGTTCAGTTGATATTTTATCAATTAACAATGTTAATATTTTTCACATTCACTTTTCTTTCCAGTCAGCACTGCATTCCCTCAGTACAATGTTTTTGAGAAAGATCTGTCGAGAAGGACCTCACGAGAAATTGCAGTTATTATAACAAACTTGAACTGTCAAAATCAAAGATGGCTGCCTGTTGGCCATCTTATTCTTCCGATTAGTCTCAAATGACAAATACACAACTAGACACAAGGGATCCTACATATGGAAAAACCAGAAATACATTACTTCAGAAATACCAATCATATATGTGAACTGTCAAAATCCAAGTTAGCTCCCTGGCAAATATATATCTATAGCTTCACGCATAACTACAGTCCAAGGGAAAGCTACATATGAAATTTGAGAAATACCCATCCAGCATTTTTTGAGACTTAGCAATAACAAGCACTGTTTAAGGATGGAAACATGTCACAGACAAATGATGATTTGAAAAGCCAACCATCAAATGATGATGGGCTAAAAAGTCTGAACAGAAGTCGGAGGAATATCCATATGAACATTGACCATGAACAAAAAAAAAGCTCCACCTCTCTGGCCTTCCCTCATTTTTCCTCTTGGATTCCATCCCTCTCTTTCCTTAGGGAGTCACAGGCTACATAATGTAACATTCGGTACCTTGGCCCAGGAGTAATGCCACGAGTTTTGAAAAAAACCCATTCAGGACTAGTAATGTGATCTTTCAATTAAAAGCTAAAACACAGATGTCAGATGAAAGGCCCTTGTATAAGCCTTTTGATCAGGTAAGCTAAATAATAAGTCAACTGTCATCAACGAAAATAATGAATTTTATTATAAAGTCATGAAAATCGCACAACATATGTACATTTTTTAGTACAGAATATTTATAAGATAACATGATGGCACAAAGTAACTTAGCACTATTATATTTCATTGAAGAGAATATGAAGTGGGTTGACACTTAAAAGCAGATAATGCTTTATCTTGATAAACTTTTTTCATCTAAAAAAACAGGTAGCACTGCTTTTAATTTCTATAACTGATGAACCATAGATTAGACAGTCCCTAGCATTCTAAACAGGACTCAAATAAACCTGTACAATGTTTTAATAATGACATAAAGAAAGTTATAAAAACAAAAGATATATGAAAATAACAATTTTATCACAGGTACAATATTGTTTCTGTACTTTTTTTATCCCCACTTTGAGAAATAATTTACAATCATCTATCTGGACTTTTCCCTATGTAAGAGATTATACAAAGCAGAAGCTAAAATATACTGTATATAAGAGTATTAATTCAACACTTTACCCTTGGTGTAAAAATTCTTAGGGTTTCTTCATTTTAGTTCAATTCTGTTTTCATTTTAGTTCAATTCTGTCATAATCATTTTGTTCTTGATTTAAAATTGGAAATGTAAAATGTTTACATGGTAGCATAGTGTAAAATGCATTTCAAATAAATAGATTTTCAGAGATTATTTCTTGGTTTCTTACCTAAACTTGCATAACATAAAATTGGTGAAAATAAAATAAAGCATAAATACAAAATGTACTCAAAAACAAAGCAGTGATTTAGCATTTTAAAAATAAGCCAAATCTCCTCAAATTACCACTACTAGCCGTCAGATCGAATTTCCAGGAACATGTACATATAAACTTGAGTTGATTGGAAAGAATGTTAAACAAAAATACATAAATGCAAACAACATTTATATCATGTTCTGCTTAAATAGTTATGAGATTAAACAAAAGTGATCATTTGTTTTAGTTCCTTGCAAAAAAACCACCAAAAAAACCCCAAGCGGATAGGATATTTGGTAAGTTAAATCACCATGAAAAATACAAAACAAGATAGCATACATTCAAACAATTGGGATATCAATCCAGAAAGCTAAACAAAGTCTATATTTTACTGCACAATATAGCCATTTAGGACCCATCAGTGATATTACAGGTCAAAAGGGAAATTCAAGGCTAATGTGTTCAGAAACGTGTGTAGAAACAGGGACAAGGGAAAGGTATCTCTAAAACCCTTTATAAAGTTCAAATTTATTTAGAATTTTTTGAAATGATGTATACTCATCTCCAGATTTGCAAATATATCGCTATATGCTGTCGTTGTTCCGTATTGACAACTTGACTGTTTGCCTTGTTTTATGTCGATGTCGACCGAGATAGTTCAAACTATTCTTTATTTTATTGGCTATAATATGTGTAATTTGAACATATTGACAGTATTTATTTAATTTTGTTCGATCTGACCAGAGGTTTACCGTATGTAGAATGTTACTGGATGTTCATAGACACATTATTTTTGTATTTTGCCTGAAGATTAATTTGAAATGAAAATTTCTAAAATCTGATACATATGAATTTAGAAAATAACCCAACACATTCACAAAATAAAACTAAAAAGAAAAAAAAGCATCAAGGTGAAATATTGAAAGTTACAAAATGCAATGTTTACTTCAAAAGCTTGAATCACATTTTTGACAATTTACAAAATTTAAAGATGACAATCTTCACTTTGATGACATATAAATCAAGTTTAAAAAATTAGACAATAATTGGTATGGTATTAATGTTTATCTACTGGAACAATGGACAATTGTTTCAGGTACAAACCACCAGGTGGTACATAATGGAAAGGCACAGGGGGCATGTTTTGGTTTACATATAATAAAAAAGAAATTATATTCTCGACTAATTTTTTCTGAAGTTATTGATATTAAATAGATAAAGCTGTCAATGCCACTGTAATGCAAAGGCTAAACTTCAAACACATGTTTGTTAGGGATATTCCAGAAATGAATACGTGATTTAGGGGATGGAGTGGGGTGGGGTGGTGGGGTGGTGTTGAGCGGAATTATAATTGCTAAATGATGCTGATTACTTGGCAGCGAAAAGCATCTAAAATAATTTTTAGTATATTTGCATAATAAGCCACAAGAAGATCAAGTAGGTGGTGGTGAACACAAATTACCTCCCTTACATATATATTTCTGAGATTGTCCTAAATGCATAGTTGTGTAAACATATTTATTTAAACCATCTGATTGAAATGACATGATTTTAATTTTCTGACTTATAATTCTGATTTCTTAAAGTTTTCTCAAAGCATGCCATTAAGTACTTGCGGAAAGATTGGAATGTAAACGATATAACTTATTTCAGGTAACATTTAAAATCTACTGGACTTTTACAATACAATTATCTATACAATTAGGGATAACTCAAAAACAAACGGACTCAAGAAATAATATAACTGTTATTACAATTTGGAAGGTGCATCAACTAAGAAATAACTATTACCATGTTTTACAAATCATTTCTATCCACATTTATAGCCTGGACATGATAGCATGATACTCCACCCGGTTACATTATCCTGACAACAGGCTAGCCAGAGGTGCCTAGAGAGACACCGCCCAAACGAAAAAGTAGGCAAGAAAGTTAAGGAGACAAAATCTTACAATGGAACTGGTTTGTTAAAGTCGTAAAAATGTAAGAACATACCCAGTAATGAAAGACAACAATAATTCCAGGATATATTACAGGGGAGTAGTTATGAGAGCTAAAAGTGTAAGTGTGAGTGATCTACAGAAGGCAAAAAAAGAAAAACATTATTCAACAGAATTGTCCAAATCTCAAAATAAGTTTTTTAATTATCTTTAGAAAACAAGGTTAAACTAGGTGTACATCTGTAGTATAACGTTGATAGAGATCTGGAGTTGTCTTCCCTTCCCTGATTCAGAGCTTGGGGATACCAGCAACAATCTGGGACTCAATACCACATTCGTCTTGTCCTCTCAGGATTTTGAAGAATCCTATCAAACAAACAGAATTTGTTATAACATCCTTGGTGAGGCTGAGAGACAGCATTCCAGGGAAGAACATTAGGAGTTTCCTAATCAGGCATTTTATAGACTTAAATATGTACTCTCTATCCCGTCTTTGCGTATTGCAGAGTTATCTTCTCTTGTGAGCAGGTATTGATTGTTACGTCATTTGTTTGTGAGAGTAACGTCATCAATTTTGGAGAAAAAGACGTAATTTTCTCACACAAACCAATGACTTTACAATCAATACCTGCTCACAAGAGAAGATAACTCTGCAATACGCAAAGACGGAATATATAGATACCTAAAAGCAGGTACAGATTGTAGATTCACGGTAAAACGTAAGAATTCTCACAAGTAGAAATGTTTGTATTGAAAATGGTTCTGTAATCTATCTGTATTCAATATAACCAACAATACATGGATTTTAATTCATGCATGGACATTTTCATGCTCATTTATTAAATGTGAAAAATCGTGATCATTGTTTAACACTGCCGAAAATTCCACTTATACAGTAGATCACTGAACGTCAACAGTAAAATAGACACATCAAATACTTCTGTGCGTGTTAGTAATACAAGTCGGTACAAGATCAAAGCCTTTGAAAGAAGTGATTCTTTGGGCATGTGAATTTGAAAAAGAACTATCCTGAATGTGACAAATACAAGTCCAAATGTTATAGACATACAGGTATACTTCATCAAATTAGTCTTTATCACAATGGTCTTTTAACAGTACAAAGATATTTTGCTCGTCTATTTTCCATTTGATAAGTAATAAAATTGTGTGTTGTGAATATAGATTTTTTTTTTCAGGTTCAAAGGCCATGTAGACATGAACTTTCACCCGATCTACTCGGCCGTCTTCGTTTATCGCGATACAAACTGTTGAACCGATGGGACAACAGTTGTTTGTTTATGAAATAAGGTAGGAATCAGTAATCTGATGCTGTTTTCAGGTGAGCCTTGCCAAAGCCATGCAAGCTAGGCCTGCATAAACTTTTGCGGGTCCGCCAGGATTTATACCCCAAAATTATGTTTAAAAACAGATGAACCGGTTGTTCTGCATAAACAAACAGGACCCTGGCCATCAGATCTGGAAATATTTTTGCCCTGCATTTGCATTTTTTTTTTTTTTTAAACTAGATACATACCATTGTCTCCCCAATCAGTGTTCCACGAGTTGGCCACAAGCCAGTAGTCGACACCTTCTTCAACACCCCAGCCCAAGATCCTGATGGCATGACCTCCCAGTTCAGAACCTGTGGTGTGCTTATACACTCCTGTTGATAAATAATAATAATAATAATAGGGTCTTATATATCGCTTTATCACAACCTAGTTCCTAGAGGGATTGTCTCAAAGCGGTTCACAAATTATTATCAGTGGTTATAGGGCCTTTGCAAGCAGCCAATATCTTTCTCAACTCCCTGTCAGATGAAAGGCCCTAGTATAAGCTTTTTATCAGGTAAGCTAAATAATAAGTCATCAACGAAAATAATGAATTTTATTATAAAGTCATGAAAATCGCACAGCATATGTACATTTTTTAGTACAGAATATTTAAAAGATACCACAAGGGCTCACAACTAGCATTCAACAATTCCAGCACTGCCCAACAACGTACTCATTTACAGCTGAGTAGACTGGAACAAACGGGGTAAAGTATCTTACTCAAAGATGCAACACAAAGCTGTGACGTGAATCGCCGTGGCAAGCAGCCAATATCTTTCTCAACTCCCTGTCAGATGAAAGGCCCTAGTATAAGCTTTTTATCAGGTAAGCTAAATAATAAGTCATCAACGAAAATAATGAATTTTATTATAAAGTCATGAAAATCGCACAGCATATGTACATTTTTTAGTACAGAATATTTAAAAGATACCACAAGGGCTCACAACTAGCATTCAACAATTCCAGCACTGCCCAACAACGTACTCATTTACAGCTGAGTAGACTGGAACAAACGGGGTAAAGTATCTTACTCAAAGATGCAACACAAAGCTGTGACGTGAATCGCCGTGGCAAGCAGCCAATATCTTTCTCAACTCCCTGTCAGATGAAAGGCCCTAGTATAAGCTTTTTATCAGGTAAGCTAAATAATAAGTCATCAACGAAAATAATGAATTTTATTATAAAGTCATGAAAATCGCACAGCATATGTACATTTTTTAGTACAGAATATTTATAAAATAACACAAGGGCTCACAACTAGCATTCAACAATTCCAGCACTGCCCAACAACGTACTCATTTACAGCTGAGTAGACTGGAACAAACGGGGTAAAGTATCTTACTCAAAGATGCAACACAAAGCTGTGACGTGAATCAAACCCGCAACCCTTCAGTCAAGAGCCTGGCGTCCTACCACTAGATAACTGTGCCTCAAAGATGATGTTGTCAAAATACACAATAAAACCAATAACATAAGATGTTAATTAAACATTTATGAGCCCCTTTGTGATCTTAGTCGGTATTATCATTTTTTAAACAACACTTATTTGCTTAAAAGGGAAATTGTAAATTGATTAGTCTTTACAGCTTATAAGGTCTCGGTATGACACCTTTTATCTTTCCACAGCTAAATCAGTCTGATGAAGCATTTAGTGTGATCCCTTTTACACTTCATCACAGCAGATTTGGGAACACAGATACAAATACATTTTAATCAAGGACTTATGGTTTTCCTGTAGGACTTATCCATATTTAGGAACTCACTGTACAAATATGTATATCTCTTAGTAATGGCACTCATCGAATTTAGAAAATTTTATTCAAGTCTTGCCTTAAAAAACTTTCAAAATGACTACACCATTAATTCAGTCAAATCATGATTTTTTTTCAGATTAAAATTAGATTTTATTTCCCCACAATTTTTTTCGAAGGATGCCAGGAATGAGGTGCTCTGTGTTTCAATCTCACAGTAATTACCTCCCTTTAATTTAAGTTTTAGTAGATCTGGGCCAGGGAAGTACTGCTGATAAGGAATATCAGCTTCAGCAACCATAGCATGATTGGGAGTCTGGGGGTTTGAATCCCAGTATGGCTCCAAACTCTCAAAACATGTTTTTTTTGTAATTTCATCTTTATTATATTTTCATGAAAATTTTGCAGTAGTATATTTCTTTTCAAAAATAATTAATTACAACTATCGTCAAAAAAGGTTCAAATTCAAAATCACAGAAACTGTCAGTAGTACATGGATCCTTAATCTATGGTACGATCAAATACTCTCTGTTTTTCGTCACTCACCACTTTTGTATGTGGGAAAGTCTGCATACACAGTAAAGGCTCCTTCTACTGGTCCGTGGCTCATGATCTCAGTCTGGATATCCGTTACATCGCTGGACACGGAGTAAGAGCTTGACCCTACAGACAAGAGGGTTTAAATCTTAATAAAAGTAAATGTATATAGGTTAATGTTGTTTTCAAGATTTTTTGCGGCACTGTTGCTCAAAGCCTTGCTAGTTACCGGCAATCTATTTGAAAACAAAATTTTCACAATTTTGAAAACTATTCGAAAAGTTTGAAATATTTCTGTATTTTTCCTGTTCAGATGGACATGTTCAATCCCCGCACAAAGTATGTTAGTTTTTCATTTAAATCTTGTTGAAATTAAACGAGATGAAAGGGTTGTATTAAGTTGTGCTTAAGTTAACCAGGCTTTCAACAACAGCTTTTCATCCAAAATGACAAAGATGCATACAAACACATGACCTTAACTTTATAAGAGGTAAATTATAGAGAAGGTTACGTTAGGAATTAGCAGTATTACAGGTATGTATCCCATAACTATCCAATACGCCTCATAATGGATTTTATGAGAACAAAAAAATCCTTTTCATAGAAAAGACCTTTCCTACCAAAGTGTTTGTCCTTGGTGTAAGACACAGAGTAGGAAGACTGACAGGACATTTCACATTTGGGAGTTGGTTCAATGGATTTAGCACATGGTAATCTGGTCCCGGTTGTGTGGTGTTCACAGGGCTTTATACTGTATGGGCGACAACCCTGAAAATAAAATGATTTATATACAAATACAAGCAAAGTGAACCCTCAGTTCACTACAGTGACCTTTTTTGCTCAGTTTTACAGGCTGTTTCTTTCCCCTCGATAAAATGTGCCCTATTTTTCCAAAATGAGCAAAGACTGAGGAATGACTTCTTAATTCAATGCAAATAATGAAAAAGTGGAATAAAAATGTTGGTAAACCAATACAATTATCCGGAAAGGAGATCCAACGTCCTACAGGCAAAGGTCTGTGGTCTGATACAGGAATCAATGCTTAATCTTCCCAATGGCTAAAGGAACAGGCTAGTGTAAAACGCAGGTAACAAAAACACTGCACTAATACATTAACTCCCTAATTCCGTTAGCAAACTGTGCTTCTCATACATCGACTTTAAATACTGTTAATCATGGTACTTTTGTGACGGATTCATTTTCGCTCTAAATCGCAGGGAAACTCATTCATGAGAAAGAATATGTGTTAATTGTTTCCAGTAAAATATTAAGCAGTTTTGAAGTAACTGCAATTGCCATGGTCTGTGTGAACAATCAACCATGAACAAACGCTTAGGGTGATCAGAGCCCCTACTGGCCAGACAGGGTTTGACCTCTGATCCTTAATCATGACTTTGACCTTAGGGTTATAAGGGATCATGGAGTTTATTGATACAAGCAGTCTTATCATGAAACACACATTTATCAAGTGAATTTCACACCAAAATCTTGTGACAGATGGGAATTTGTTTAAGTACAAAGCACAACAAAGATAATCATTATTTTAAAATTAGGGCAATAATCTCACACATACAATATGTCTTATGCAGTTCAGTAGAAATGCCAACAAATACTAATTCATCATTATTTAGCAATCACATCCTCCTCATTTGAGACAGAGATATGTAATGGCCCCTTGGACTAATTTCAAGATATATGTATAGTACATGACATAAATATATTTTCTTTAAAGTCTCATTAAACATGGACTGTACATTCAAATAACATGTGCACATTTAGTTTTATGCAACATACAATGTACTAAGGACATGTGACAGGTAAAGGGATACAAGACATAGTATATAGGTATAGTCTAGACTTCATCACCACAAAAGTCTGGCAAAGGGAAGGAAAAATTGAGAAGATCATTTGATTCCTTCATGGTTAGATCAATGCAGTCTAACAGACAATTTTGTTTTCATCGGTTATTTTAACCAATGTGAATTTTGTATGATATTGCAGATCTTTGCCTTTTTTGTTGTTGTGATAAAATTATTTTTTGGAATATTTTCTCATTTTTTTTTTACACATTTACAATTACTTTATCAATCTCACAATGCCCTGTGATATTTCACCAGCCGCAGTGTCTGTTTATATTATATTTGTAGATATTGTAGTTCTGGTCTGTGCTGTATTAATACTCTAAGACTTGCATCTCCTGGTGCATGGCATTTTCCCCATCAACAAAAAATCGCCATGCCAATGTTAATATAGTAAAACAAGCAAATTCGTGGAATTTATATCCCCTGCTTGCAGGACATATTGTAGGTTAACGTTATTGAGGTTAGGTTTAAACATGTGAGTATCGTACTGATGAGACATAATGTATAGCTTGAAACTTGAAAGAAAAACCCCCACCTATACCTCATTGATTATCCGTAAATATGCAAAAATCACATCAGTTGGAAAACTTAGCATGAGTCGGATGTGTATTCCGAATTTGGTTGAACTATATCTGAACAATATCTACAGCAATTATCACACGAAAGCCAAAGAGTGCCCGAGATGGGTGGAAAGACAGAGGGACACGAACATTGTTATCAAGTTTGAAGGAATTGTGGTTGTCAAACTTGGTGAGAGTTAATGAAGAGAAACAGCAGATAATGACTGTTTTCCTTATTGAAGGGGACATAACTCCGCCAAATGGGGTCCACTGAATTTGGGTATCGAATTTGACTGAGCCCTTAAAGCATTCAAACTTCTAGCCAAGTTTGAAGAAAATCGGTTGACACGGAAACAAAGCGTGACAGACAGACAAACCCAAATGAATATCCTTTAGATATTTACATGTGATGATTACCACTCACCTGTGTAGAATTGTACTGACCACCGGTCACCAGTCCCTTTCCCTTGAAGAAAGACCAGGCTGATCCTGGGAACCCACCATCACATCTGTCAACAAAATGAGAATATCACGGTAAAACCTTTAATTAGACTACATATATCTACTTAGTGTCTTTTAGCTTATCACTCATCTCAGTCACCCTAACTCATTCACCCCTGAAATTTTATAATGAACTATACCTACCTTTGAATTAGAAGAGTTCAAATGTGTCTTCAGGGGTGAATGAGTTTACCCATTCAACACTGTAAACCATAATGGACTAATCTATATCAGTGCATAGTAGAGTCTACTAAAGTTACATAGTGATAAAAGGGTTAATGGTTAAATATATTTAAATGACTAAATTAAGCCTTTGTGCCAGGCAAGCTCAAAAACATAGTGATTACACACACACAAATTTATGTTTATAGGATAGATAAAAAGTTTCAATGAAAACAATTTCACAATATTGATAGAAGAAGTATAACTTGAAAAAGGGCTGTAAAATCAAGGGACATAACGACTGTATCCTAACATGCCAAGGTTTACAATAAATGAGATTGGTAGTTATATGTATTTTTTGTTGAGTTTGAACAGATAGATATTCTTACAAGGATATGCTTGGTCTTTAAAAGCATAATAAAGGTTTTCCAATGCTCAGTCATTCAATAATTCAAGGGCAAAAGTCAGTTCCATGTACGTTTGACTCGAATACAATGTCAATAGATTTGTGTACCCAACAGCTCTGCAAAACCTACTGAAACTTACAATCTTTTTCAGATTGTTTAAAACAAATTCTAAATAAAAACTTTAATAAGATGAATACTGAATAGTAATACATCCTTATTGCTGTTCAGCCATGTGGACTGACCAGATACTTACCCCATACCACAGGAAGAGCAGCAAGACAGAAGATCCTCCGAGGAGATGTGAGCATTAACCTTTCCATTAGACGCGATACAGATTCGGTCTGACATTGCCTCCACAGCCCCAAAGGCCTGCATTGTAAACATAGGGTAATACATTTCAAAACTTATTCTATTTCTAACGTCAAGCAATATGTATCCGGTTGTGTATTGAAATTAATCAGGTATAATTGAATTAGATGAAAGGTCTCCAGCCATCAGATGCTGTGGCAGTCATCTTGAATTTCAAATTAGTCCAAAAAGTAGCAACAATAGTACTTGGTAATGTCATCAGATCTAGATGATTCATCAAGTTGCTTATTGAATGTGATGTTGTGTCTTTTAAAGAAACAAAATGGAAAACTTTTTGCTGTACTGATCCTCATTACTGTGCTTCCTCATTCCCATTGGGTTGGAGATTTTTAGATACATCCTTTATTTCAACAACACTGAATCACCTTGAAGCAAGAACGCTTCGTTCTTAATCATCCATTTGATTGTAGTCAAGGGAGTTAAAAGTTGAGTCCCATTTTTCTCTATTCAGGACCACACATTTCTGCTCCAAGACAGGACACACTCAATATTCAATTGTACTATATTCTCCTTAAATGAGGCATTCTAAATATCATGTATTCAATCTAAATCCTTTTAGTTATTTGGGACAAGTAGTCTTTTAACTGAAAAAAATTGACAAAAGACAACAGACACTACCCTAAACCAAAAGTGTACAAGAGGCACAGAGTGCCTGTATCGCTCATCTGTTTCTTTTGTTACATAAAACCGACATATAGGTAACTTCAGATCAAATTTGGTAACTAAACTAAAAACACAAGACATTTTAACATCATTTCAACGGTTCTAAGATATTGTTGTTTGAAATTTGAAATTTTAAAGCTTTTAATCCACATTGACCTTTGATTCAAACTAACACTTAAAGTTGACCTTTGACCTCATTAAAAATATATAACTGTAATAAAGAAAACGATTCACACAGCTGGTCTACATAACATACCCAGGTACCATGACTGTAGACCAAATGGTTCTTGGGATATTGTTGTTTAAAGTTTTTAACATATTTGTCCCCCGTGACCTTGAAAGTAGGTCAAGGTCATTTCAATGAAGAAACTTTATAGCACTCCACTCCAGGTACCTACTGGCAAAATATCATGACCCTAGGTCCTCCAGTTCTTTAGAAGAAGTCGTTCAAAAGAAAAAGTTGACCGACGCCGCAGCAAGGCATAAGCTCACATGGCCCTTCTTGATCATGGTGATCCATTAATAATAACATCGCTGAATATACTAGTCATGCACTAAAGGACCTTAGTTACTGTAGAACTCTGTTGTGCTGATTCGAAAAGGATCAAGCTGTTACTTAAATATTCTATTCTAAGCAATACTTTAAAATTAATAAAAATCTCTTACCCAGCATGATCCGCAGTCACCTTGGTCTCGAACTTCTTTAATCGTAGGACATTTGGTCCATTTCTTACGTGCATCAAAACTTGTTGGCAAAGGGACTCCTGTCAAACGGGGCCTCTCGGGTAGCTTTAAATTATCAGGTGTCTTCAAAGCTCCGCAAAGTTTCTTGACATAATCCAGACGTTCATATTTGCTGATTCTGGGGAAATTGTCTCCTGCCTTGAAATATAGAGTATTATATAATAATATTGCTAAAGTCAGTTAGTCTAACTCAAGTACTAATGGGTAACTGTCTGGAACCCCAGCTACAGTGATTGGGAAAAGTTGATAAATCTATATTGCATTTCTGTACATCTTAAGGATCCCTGTCCCACTGCACTGTGTTTTTCCTATAGAGTAACCTCCCCTTTACTCCTGTTTGGCATTTACTATAGCACAGTTTGGCCTGGACATTTCCGTTGACCAGGTAGCTCAATTGTAAGAGCAATAGTTTAAAAAATTTATTCCAGGATTTGAATCATGTTCTAGCCCCGTTCCATTTTTTACACTCAGAACACTGTTATTGATCATATTTTATATATTCTATCTTTGTTATTTCTCATAAAAATCTGGCAAGGTATTGTTTTCTTTTCAGAAATGATTAATCAAAGCTATAGTCATGCCGATAAAAAAATTCCAATATGTAGTTACATATTTTGGTAGTGGTTTGAGGATTCTTAAATATATGTGCCACTATTATCGTATAATGTAAATTTTCTATCAGCATTTCACAATAGCTACAATATATATGTAATATTATGTAACATCATTACATAATCTGAAATTATTTTATGCAGCATGACTGTATCTCAAAAGGTTTATAGTTTAAGAACATTTTACCCTTATTTGACATGACAACTTTTAGGTTCAGAAGAAATTATACAGGAGTGACTAATTATGCAACAAAAAGAGGTAGTCCTGCGATCTTCAAAATAAGAATAATATAGTCTGTTTTTGGGCCTGACCAGTAGAGTTTGCTGAATAAGTCACTCCAGTGTAATTTGCATAACTTAAAAAATTGCATAACTCATTTGAAACCCGTGGACTCGACTGATGGAAGTTAACAGCTGTTGGTGATAAAAAGGGCGGTATATATAAATAACTCAGTATGCAGCCGTCTGAAGCAGGAAGACATTTGTATTTTATATATATATTTACCTGCCAGGAAGTGTTGACAAAGTTGACTTTGTTCACAAGGAGATCCCACTCTCTTACGAGAAATTCCTTGAGTCCTTGTCTTGGTGGATGAAGATGTTCAGCCATCCCGAGTGTTAAAACAACACAAAGAAACAACACTTTCTCCATTCTACAACAACGAAATATTATGTAAACACAACATACAGACCACAACAGGATAACATTATATTGCCAAGCAAAAAAACAAAAAGTTTGGTGATTTCCATGACCCAACCTGTTCTAATAAATTTTTTATATTAAACATTTTTTTTCCAGAAATTTTCAAAGACACGATTTAATACGATAAATAATGGACGCAGGCTGTAAGCCTCTGTGTCCATATCAGTTGATATTACAATATTTACAGTATGATATATACTAGCTTCTGTGGACAATTAACATGTCCATTATCATAAATATATAAAATTAAGTTAATTATTTGTTGGTATTTTCCCAGTGATTGTCCAGTAAAAACACAGGACTGTTAAAGTCACGATCACTCTCCAAGGTAAACTATATAAATTTACTTCTGAAAATATACCTTAGACTGGCCCTTGTCTCTAGAATATTGAATACTTTAGATAAAAAAAATAACTCATAATTTTGATCACTTTCTGATTCTAGAAACCTGGGGAGATAAGCTAATAGTAAAATGCAGTTGAGAAATTATTTATAAAAACTTGGGGGCTGCAGGTAGCCAGTCTAATATATCCTCAGGTTACCGGTTTCCGCGCACTTAAGATGCATCCGCGATTTTGTACTCATATCGGCAGAAAACTGTTGAAATTACGGATGAATGTCATAAACATGTATACAATCTACTAATAGAAACAAAAAACTAGCAACATAAAACTGTATTTAAAAAAAAATCAGAACAAACAATTTTTAACAAATTTCTCCCATCGGAAGTAGCGTCATATGTTTCCATTTGTCTATTTTGATTTAGTGTTCAAAGAAAGATAACTCGAATACACTAAAAAGAACTTCTCTTCAGTGACCTGCAAGAACAAAAGCTGCGTTTGGAATACAAAAAATATCTTTGATTGTCAAATTAATTATCAAAATAACTTTTTTTAAATTTCACATTTTTAATTGATTTTTCAAGATGTCAAATTGAACCAATTCATGTATTTTTTTAAAATTATTTATTATATTTATTTATTTATTTAGTTATAATATAGAATCTGTTATTATTTTTTTCTGCAGTCTTATATCGGTTTTGGTTGATGGTAAGTTATTTCTCATTTTGTTCTGTTTAAAATTGGTGAAAATTGGAAGTTAATTGCATTACAAGGTTTACGTTTCATTAAAAACACTGTTTATCAATACAAGAATGTCTTCTTGGCTCTTTGGAAGTGGAAAAAAATCGGAAAGGAGATGTGGCCTCATTTGCATACGACATTTTCGTACGTTTTTCAGACTACAAAAAAGACCGGTTCATGAATGAGATATATCATTGATTTTTCAGGTATGGGCTCATTTTGAGCAAGATAAAAAATGCATTAAGCAAAACTGCATATTTAAGCGTGTTTTTTTAATCAGTGATTATTTCTTATGTCAAACGTCTAAAATATCCTTGTGGTGTGTCCATCAGGTCATGTAGTTACGAGCTTGATAAAATGGCTGCGCGTAAATACATAACGCGCAGAAACTGATGACTAGACGATATATACCTATCCAAAGTAAGAAATGTACTAAATTTATCACATCCAAACACAATACACTATTACATAATTTATATCACAACAAAAGCATTAGTCCGAATTATTCTGACTTTTTTTTTAACTTTCTTTATATCGGTCTGTCACCGACGACAGACCGATATGATAAAAAGCGGTTAAAACGTCAGAATAAAACCATATGATATGCAAATTTATGCTGTATAAACACAACAAAGAACACACCAATTAGGCCTAGCTATTAGCACGAGTCATCGATGTCTTAGTATTATGATTAGGGCAATAGAGTATGAAGTAGACAATTATATTCGGCAAGACGAATGAGAACACGTACATGGCAGAAGCAGCACAACTACTGCTTGTGTTTTGTTAATTGAACCCGGATACTTAACTGACATTGCCAGAACAGAAAACCGGTGGAGCATAACTTCACTACAACTTTTCTGTATTTAATGTTTTGTGATATAAAATTTTGTTTGCAACTTGCTACAGTTCAAATTTACCTTAACAAATGACATGTCTCTTTGTTTGATCTGATAACGGTTACATACCTATCTGTTTAATCAGCTCCTCCGTGTTTATCTTGTGTCTAGTGTGTCTGCTCCCTGCGCTGTAGATCACGAGATTCCCAATCATGTGACAGTCATGTGACTCTGAGTACTATTCTCTCGCTAACTTCCGGATCCGGTTTATTTTGTGACAGTATTTATAATGAATTCATTTATAATCCATTTCGCACGAAGTGCTACGTCCGAAATAACTAAACAGTATTTTTATCCCAGCTCCTGGTCCATCATTTATTCAAAGAGGAGATCTCGAGTATATCGAGTAGCTTTAACTGAAAAAAAAATGATGGGTTATCTTTGCCCAGAGCACGGAATTAGATTAGCTAACTACAGATGCAGTACGTGCCCAGAGACGTATTTATTACAATGTAATATATATGTACTTCTCTTCTTTGCCTCACCAGACACTTTAAAAGGATATAGTTAGTTGTTGCAGTCTTGTTCCGCTACAGCTGTAACTTGATATACGAATTATTGAAATATCAATTTGGGCCAGCTACATTTAGGCAGAGACGTACGCGTACTGTTATATATATCATGACGCGTCGAAAGAAATTAAAGTGAGACCCACCTTCGAATGTGGTCCGTCATTCCGCCCGTCTTTGCTTTTTCTGTTAAAGTTCGGGAGAATCTTTCTCAAATTTCAGATGAACTTTCCTCATGGTTCCTAGTTACGGCCATGTTAAATTTTGAGAGTTAAAGTTTGTTAGCGTTATTTCTCAGACAGTACTGAAAGGATTATTTCCTTCAAATTTCATATTTCATTCGGGCAAGTGAACTGCTAAGATCCTCAAATTCAAACTCAGATTCACCCCGGGACCGAATCTAAGTCCGCGCTATTGTAGGCCACATACAAGTCATTAAAGGTTGTCCAGACAGAACGATAATAAAAAATGGATCGAGGTTACCAACATGGAAGTATTTTTTCGGCAATGGGTAAACGCACATACCAGTTTCTTTTCCGTATCTTTGAGATACATGTACACGTAATTGACAGCTAGGGGCGTCATTAAAGAACAACGGGAAGATGAACATTTAAATTAAATTAGTATGGTGGAGACGGAGAGAGATAAGGACGTTGATAAGGTTTGCTTCAAAACCACAAAAAATAAAAATGTTAAAAATAAAGCATTTTTTCCCCTTTCTTTTAAAAAACATCAACTGAATAAGCCATAAGTTTATTTAACTTAACTAAAATAGATTCTGTTTCAAGCAAATCTGTTCAAATATGCTAGGCTGAACAACGGTATTGTATCAATTGACGGTTTAAGGAGCATGACGAACACAACCCCCCCCCCCCCCCCCCCCCCCGAGTCCCTCCAGATCCCAGGTACAAAGCTAACGTCTGGATGGTGTAAGCTTTGCAAAGACATTATCAGTTATATATCAAATACTTGATAATAAATAAATGCAGGTTGACGAAGACTATGGACAAGTTTGATGGTGATCATCATGATTGTTCTTCAAACCACAGGACAGTTGAGATACTAAAGAAGAAAATCTGGAGGCTTGTCTGAAGACTTTATGCAGTACCCGGATGAACGCCAACAAAGCTGAATCAGGCGAAGACGGTACTAATCGTTTTCCCGCGAAGTGTCAGCAAACAATGGTTCTCCAGATCAAGGTCGGTGCCAGAACTATTGCACCTATGAGACTGTCCCAACTGTAAAAACATAGGGGTACACTTTGATAGTTCACTGAACATTGAGAAACAAGTGGACGCTATTGCCAAATCATGTTACTACCAGATCAGGAACATCGGCTGTATCCGGAAGTTTATAACTGCAGATGCATGCAAGACTTCGGCGCATTTACTTGTTACCTCTCGGTTGGACTAAGGTAATGCCCGGCTATCGGGAATGACTATCACATGGTATTACCCGTTGGACAACTAATGGGTCACACAAGGGCCACTTTTTAAAGTGTCACCTCGCCGAAAAAAGGGCTTACCAAACGTGCATATAAAGGCACCACAGAAGGGGGGAAAAGGAAGGAGAGAAAATAAAAACAGATGCTTGGAGTGCTGCAATGAGAGAAATATGTCAGTTCTGGCCTCTGATATCCTCAGTGTAGGAGGCAGCGAAGAAAACTCTCAGCAGAGTCACTCCTGTATTAGTAATTAAGTACCCGGATCTGCGCAAGTGTCATTATCAAATATTTACATGAAGATACGTATGTAAGTAAAGATGTTTAAACTGATAGTATGCATGCTCACTTTTTTGGCGTGTTGCAGCAGTTGTTCTGAAATTTTACTGACCTAATATAATTTTAGAACATTTACAGAGAAGCAGGGTGTTTTTGTATAAAATTGTGAATGGCAAACATACATATGCTTAATAATATACTAAATTAATATGTTAGTCTGTGTACCAAATAGCTATACTTTTTAATGACTGAACTTGCGGCTGGAAGTATAGTAAATCGGTTCAATTTATGTGAAATCTTTGCGGCCATGAGTAGAAAATCGATGACACTTTAAAGGGCTATATAGGCACTCTTCTAGTGTATTTTTTAATATATTTCTATCCTCGATGTAGACTTGTTTTTTCACTTTTTTATTCTTATAGTAACACTGCTTAGTAATATAATGACGGAATGGCCTCAAATAAGTACCATTTGCTTTGGTTTTCGCATTTTAAGTACATTTATAGTAGTTTTTATGGAATTTAAAAAGGAGCTCAGAATATCAATGACAACAAGTTAAACCAGGCAGGAGGTATTGTATTTGAGTTTGAGAGCCTATTTAAGTTCCATGAAAAAGTAGTATAATGTGACCGGGTGGGTGTCCTGCTGGTTGTCTTCGGCAGTATGATGTTTCAGTGAGGTAGCACTATAAAGTCTGCATCAGTTCCGCGCTATCACAAGGAGACAAACACGAGCATATCGCATCCTCCCAAAACACACATGCATACACTACACGCATGCATCTTGCACATAGGGGAGGCCGTCCTTAAATGACAATAGCTGTTGATAGGACGTTAAACAATACTAAACCAAACAAACCAATTCATAAAAAACTTCCATACTTAAAATACATTTTTTTTATGTTATTAAACATAACAGTTTTTGAGACAACAGGTACCTATTGACGTTCCATACACACTGTCCGACATGGAAAATGATTAATAATATTAATATGAAGTAAAGAAGTAAGCATATAATTCTTTACTCAGCTGTAGTCACTCTATACAGGACTTAAACAGAAGCAAACGTTACTTTTTTATTTGTAACTGTCTAACAGTTTTGTACAACTATTTTCTTAGTGTTGCGTAAACATGCAAAACTTTTTCTTTGGTGTTGTTATTTTTCGTAGTGTTGAGCAGTGATGTGCTACTAGTCTAGTGCCTTGGTGTACAACCATCCTCGATACTCCAGGGGTTACGCTCACGTTCGCTCTCTGTACCCCTGGAATATGTCATAGCAAAATAAATGAAGGCACACTGCTCGCTATTTGATTGGTGTCAGGTAAAAAAACCTGACAAATCATTAGACTGATAAATGTCCTTTGAAGATTACAGAGGAGCGAAACCCGACTTCAAAGCCTGTAGGTTTTACCGTTACGCAACCGCTAGATTTTTTTGCTATACATCAATGATCAAACTAGCCTTCTCGTGTCATCCCCAAGGGTTGCGCACACTGAGCCTTCGATATTGCTATGACATATTCCAGGTGTGTAGAGAGCGTAAGTGAGCGTAACCCCTGGATATCAAGGATGGTGTACAACTTGTTGTTTTGTGTTGAGCATTGGTGTACATCTAGTTCCTTTTTGTTGAGCTGTAACGTAGTCATTTTCTTAGTTGCGAACAGTTAAGAAATACTTAACAACTGCATGAACAATTGCTGTCGGTACATGTATACAAAGAGTACAACGGGTCAAGTTAGTCCTTGTCATACCTATTGATAACAGGTAACACAAAGTAAAATCATGTCAGTAAATTACAACGTTGTATAGATAACAGTTATCGCGGTCTCAGCTATCACATGAGAGTTGATGCAGCACATAGTCAACTCTCCTACCTAAACGCCGATATGGTCGACTCGTCCTTCATGATCAGTGCCACTTCAGACGGTTCTATAACTAAATTAGGGAAGGGACAGTGTTTGGGTCTCGTGGTTTCGTTCTCATGACCAAGATAAATTAGACCGATGATCTAAGCTGATATAAAGTCCCGTCTCGCCGACAGTGGATCACTGTTTTTCCCGGAGTGGCGTGACTGAACAGGTGAGTTAAAGTTTACTTTGTTTAGATACATACTGTTTTGGTTTTAATTTCTCTTAGTAAACTTTTGACGTTGAAAAACTATTTTAGGTATGATCTTTGGTACAAAACTCAAATAGAAAGTAAAATTATACATTTTTGTAAAAATACTTTATGTTGGGGTTTCTCTGCTGAGATATGTTTCCACTTACATTTATATTTACAAACTAGTGATTTTGTAATTAGTGTATACATTTAGATGTCTCTCTATTCAGGTTACCCTATTTTATAAATGACATTGAACAATCTCCAGTTTATTTCTTTTCATACCGATGTTGATTAATTCATGGGAAAAAGCTGAACCAAAACTGATTATGGATATTCATTAAGCTTTATAAACGGAAAAAGATTAAACCCCTTTCGTCGTTAAATAAAAATCGTATCTGTTAACCACTCTTAAACAAAAGAATTAAGAAATTATGAATTAGGGGAGTGATGAATCGACATTTACTGGTTCTTTTCGCTACATTCTTGACGACCTCTTGGGATGAGATTACATTTTGTAATTCAGTTGACTCCACTGAACTCGACTCATCCCGGCCCCGGTTTCATCAACGTTCCTTAACTTGAAAGAACTCCTTAAACCGGCCTTTTCCTTAAATATAAGGAATTCCTTACCGATTTTAAGTGAAGGAAACATTTAAGTTAAGGAAAGTTGATGAAACCGGGGTCTGTCGTTCGATATATAGATAACTGTGCGTTGGTAGAGACAGATGGTAAGTTCAAAATGTATTAGAATTCTTCTTTATTTATCGTTTTACTAGATGAAGATTTTGGCAGTTCTGTGTGTGCTGGTGGTGGCGTCATGGGCTAAGCCCAGTGATGACCTTGCCACTATCTTGACCTCTGATCTTGACCTCATGGCAAAGTACATCAACTCCGTCGGCACAACATGGAAGGTCAGTGACAAATAACATGTCTGTCCGTGTCGTATGCAAAAACGAGAAATATTGATACGTTCATCGTTTATATATGATAAAATGTTATTATCTTATCAGCTTTTCGCGGCACATTTAACATAATAAACATTGAGGTGTATATACCTACCTGATCTACTCTTGCTTGACAGGTCAATGGATATAGTACCATATCATTCAAACTGATGCACTCCCCTTGTTCTCTGTAGACAGGTTTACTAGTATAGTATCATATCTACCCAACTGATTAAATCCCCTTGTTCTCAGTAGACAGGTTTACTGGTATAGTATCATATCTACCAAACTGATACAATCCCCTTGTTGTCAGTAGACAGGTTTACCGGTATGGTATCATATCTACCCAACTGATGCACTCCCCTTGCTCTCAGTAGACAGGTTTATCGATATAGTATCATATCTACCCAACTGATACAATCCCCTTGTTCTCAGTAGACAGGTTTACTGGCATAGTTTCATATCTACCCAACTGATGCCATCCCCTTGTTCTCAGTAGACAGGTTTACTGGTATAGTATCATATCTCCCCAACTGATACAATCCCCTTGTTCTCAGTAGACAGGTTTACTGGTATAGTATCATATCTACCCAACTGATGCACTCCCCTTGTTCACAGTAGACAGGTTTACTGGTATAGATTCATATCTACCCAACTGATGCAATCCCCTTGTTCTCAATAGACAGGTTTACCAGTATGGTATCATATCTACCCAACTGATGCAATCCCCTTGTTCTCAGTAGACAGGTTTACTGGTATATTATCATATCTACCCTACTGATACAATCCCCTTGTTCTCAGTAGACAGGTTTACTGGTATAGTATCATATCTACCCAACTGATGCAATCCCCTTGTTCTCTGTAGATATATTTACTGATATAGTATCATGTCTACCCAACTGATGCACTCTCATAGTTCTCAGTAGACAGGTTTACTGGTAAAGTATCAGATCTACCCAACTGATCCTCTCTCATTGTTGTCAGTAGACAGGTTTACCGGTATAGTATCATATCTACCCTAATGATGTAATCCCCTTGTTCTCAATAGACAGGTTTACTGGTATAGTATCATATCTATCCAACTGATACAATCCCCTTGCTCTCAGTAGACAGGTTTACTGGTATAGTATCATATCTACCCAACTGATGCACTCCCCTTGTTCTCAGTAGACAGGTTTACTGGTATAGTATCATATCTACCCAACTGATGCACTCCCCTTGTTCTCAGTAGACAGGTTTACTGGTATAGTATCATATCTACCCAACTGATGCACTCCCCTTGTTCTCAGTATACAGGTTTACTGGTATAATATAATGTCTACCCAACTGATGCAATCCCCTTGCTAACAGTAGACAGGTTTACTGGTATTGTATCATATCTACCCAACTGTTGCACTCTCATTGTTCTCAGTAGACAGGTTTACTGGTATAGTATCATATCTACCCTACTGATGCAATCCCCTTGTTCTCAATAGACATGTTTACTGGTATAATTTCATATCTACCCTACTGATGCAATCCCCTTGCTCTCAGTAGACAGGTTTACTGATATAATATAATATCTATCCAACTGATCCATTCTCCTTGTGCTCAGTAGATAGGTTACCTGATATAATACAATATCTGCCCATCAGACATAATCCACTTAATCTCAGTAGACAGATTTTGCCGTTATATTTTTTGTGTATCCGATCAAACGATATAACAGTATAATCTTTGTGTTTATAAACACAAGCCAATTACTTTCTGATAGAAGCATTTTATCGAACAGGAATGGTCATCTTCAGAATATTTCGAAATAGACGGATATGGTTTGACCATGTTTCCTTTGAGACAGGCAAGTGCCATGTACTTGTCCTGTTGGTTAGATAAATTCTATCGACCTGTAAGATCAGGTTATGGCAATTTTGTCTTGGTTTTCTACTGTGTGGCTTTATATGAACATAGTGAAACACGTTAACAATCAGTTAGTTCCCTCCACATAGTCACTAGATATATACCACAAGTGTTTTTATATTACTTCATCCCTTTTTTATATTACTGAATATCACTCAAAACAGATTCAATTTTTGCCCTCTAGGCCGGTGAAAACTTCCGTCATGTACCCAAGGAGGACCGCGTCAGTTACGCAAAAATGATGTGCGGTGTCCTGCCGACTCCAGATCACATGAAGCTCCAGGAAAAACATATGCACGTGCCCGATGATCTTCCAGCCACTTTTGATGCCAGAACCCAGTGGCCTAACTGTCCAACACTGAAGGAAGTTAGGGACCAGGGAGCTTGTGGGTCATGCTGGGTATGTCATTGTAGATCTGACCTCGTGTTCTGCATATGACGTCATTGTCTTTTGACTCCACTGATCTGTGTATGACGTCATTGTGAAAATGAAATCTTTGTTCTACGCGAGTCGTCTTTGTTTTTCACATCCTTGATATTTATAAGTAATGTTGACATATGTCATATGTAGGTATGAATTATATTGATGATCATTTTGAAGAAATAGCTTTACGATTTCAATACTCTTTGTGTAATAGAGTCACTTCGAAGTTGGGACGGTGTGTGGACGGTGTGGGTTACAATTATTCCTCTGCCTGAATGCATGTTTCTTTTCATTTTAACAAAGTGCTATTGGTCATGTAACTTCCTTTCTGTTACAGGCGTTTGGAGCTGTAGAATCCATGTCCGACAGGATCTGTATCAAGTCCGGAGGAAAGTCCAATTTCCACATCTCCGCCGAGGACCTGACTTCATGCTGTAAAACATGCGGTAACGGGTATGTAAAACGATATAGAATATTACTCAGAGTTGTCTTGTTTGCATCATTTATCCCTCTTATAGTTGGAGTTATACATATTGGGTTATACATTAAAGATTTGGATATAGTTTGGACCTGACCTTCACATTTTACAATATTTCTCGTTTTATTATCATAAACATGCAAATATAAAAGAAAGGGTGTAATCTGACTTCAATATCTTACACTAGTTTTAAAACTTTTGATTGTACTGTGTTTTGTTTCTCTATTATTCAATCATTCGTCCGTTAATCTAAAACCTTGTTATGGTTATACCATATACACTGTGTGTGACTTACATCACTGCGTGAAGCAGTTGATGCAAAGAATGCATGGGGGTTTATTTAAATATAAACGTCATACTTTCATTTCTTGAAATTACATCTGAAAGGTAAACAAACGCTTCTCCTACACATGCTAATGTTATTAAAAACAGTATTGCGCATTAGTTCTATGTAAAGAAATGTCCTAGAGTTTGACGTCAACAGTTGTATTGTTGGATTTGAGGTTATCACATATAACCTTAGTATTAGAAATTGTATCAGGTAAACTTATACAATAAAACTATATCATTATCTATTTTACCACAATATTTGATGAGGACAGCTTTTAACCGATTGCCTATGATCATCAGAAAATTCTGTTATAACGTTAGTAAATTGCACCCTTTTTAAAGTTTCAAATCTCTTATATTTTCCTTAACCCCACCTTAAAACATTTTAAAGTGTTTAAAACTCATTGATATTGGATGCTCCATACATTGAAGTTGTATAGCCGTATTCATATATATTTTGTGCATCAAAAGATAAAATATAAAAATATCAGTATTTATTTCATACTTACTAATAAATACGGATTTTTGGATATGCGATACGACACAATTGCTCTAACCCACATCAGCCCTCGCCGTATCACACCCAAAACCCGTATCATCCCGCAAAACCTGTATCACACCCCTTTTGGGTGTTTTTTTAGTTTTTCAATATTTCAAAAGAAAAATAGATGTAATAAACAGAATAAAACATGCCTTTGGGCTGATATTGCAGTCTCGGGTTAATACTGGATGTGATATAGAAAAAAGGCATGTATAATTCTCTATTTACCCATAATTAATTCATTACATCCAGGAAAATAAAATACTTGTTTGTCTTTATATCAGATGTAACGGTGGCTTCCTCGAGGCAGCCTGGTCTTACTTCGAGAGGACTGGTTTGGTCACTGGTGGACAGTACAACACTAAACAGGTAACTATAACTACAACATTGTGCCTATCTGATACTGTAAACAGATAAAGGACGGCAGCACTGTGTCCTCCCTAATACATGTAATATTATATATAGTTAAGCAATGGCCAACTGTTGTCAATGATATGCAGGTGTATAATGGCTAAAATTCGTCCTTCCCAATATCTAGTTATATGTAAATAATGACTAAAGGTCCTCCCAAATATATAAAGTATTTTGTATACATGTAAATAATAGCTAAACTCTGGCCTCCACTATACATACCCACAGATTGGAGATAGCAGAGTGTGGTCAACATTTACCTGTTATATATTGGGGAGGACTAAGTTAATATATCATTTACCTGTGTAAACATGTTTGTTTCATAATTGTAATAGTCTGAGTAAGTTTCTTGATTATAGTGAATATTATATTCTGCTTGAAAGTTTAGATATTTTTCAGTTCTGAGGTTGCATTGTTGTAATTTACCTTTTCCTATAATGTTCTAAATTTTTAAATATTAAAAACATGATCTATTACACACTTCGTAACTCGTCTCTATCTTAGAGTATCTCGTATGACATCTTTTGATCTTGTTTCTATCCAGGGATGCCAGCCATATCTCATTGCTTCCTGTGATCACCACGTAGTGGGGAAGGAAAAGCCTTGCGGGAAGTCCGAGCGTACTCCCAAGTGTTCCAGAACTTGTGAAACTGGATACAACAACACGTTTGAGAAGGATAAACACATGGGTTCGTATACATGCAATTCTCCATAGACAAACATACGAATGAACACATTGTAGCTATCCATAAGTTTAAATTAATTTTCGTATTTACTAGGCTTATGCTTATTCATAGAATTACCTTATGGTAACACTTTGATGTGTAAAACTCACCATTGCATTATTCAATGATCAGTCTATGGTACATATGGCATTCCATAGGATAAGGTGAGTGATATCACTTCCGTATGTTGGTCCCTCTGTTCTGTTTTTATTCATATTTATTTCTTTTGATTTTTTTGCAGTCTTACAATTCACAGTCATTGGCCATTTTAATTGATGTATTTGCCTCTGTTGAACCCTCTGTTCTGATTTTCTTTGTAATTGTTCATATTTATTTCCATTTTTTTTTTTTTTGCAGTCTTAAAATTTACAGTCATTGTCCATTTTCATTGTTGTTATTGACTCTGTTCTCACCAGGAATGGCTCCATACTCCCTGAGATCTGTGGAGAAGATTCAAACTGATATTATGACCAACGGACCGGTCGAGGCCGCCTTCACTGTCTACTCCGACTTCCTCACCTACAAATCTGGTCAGTATTGTATCGTTATCACGAGTTTGGCAGGTTTCGCTCATTGGTTCTTAATAATACGAGAAGGTAAACGAAGCCCGTATTTTCTTGATTAATGTAATATATCTCAATTGGTAGGTTAAATGTGTCCAAGGCACTACTCGATAAGAGCGTCTTCGCAACAGTAAATGTAACGAGGTTATGGTACCTTAAGGAACCTCGGATTTGTCGAATACAATGTATTCCTCGAACTATTGATCTGGACCCTATGAGTTCGAGTAAACGGGGTTGTACTGTATGTACACATAGTATAAAATATAATAGAGGATATACAAATGATGCTATTCATTTTTCATAATTAAAAAATCTAAGATAGAAATATTATTTTTATATGACACTATAAACATAGTATGACATCTTGTGTTGTGTTTAAATGAAATCCCTTGTGTTTAAGTTTCAGGTTTCTTTGTGATTGAACGTATAAATACATGTCGTGTCACAGGCTCTATAGATAAATATGTAGCATGAGTACCTCACTGTATTACACTTTGCCCAATCTGTCTTAACAAAGAATGCCTTTATAAAGTACGATGTACAATGTTAAGTAAGTTTTGTAGTGATTTTATTATTAGTTGACCGCCAAAGCTCTTGATGAGCACAATGTCGTCGCAAAGTACAAGTGTTTTATTTCCGGAATAGTTAACTTACATGTGCAGGGGTCGGTTGTTCAGAGATTAACAAGCATAACGATATGTAAAGGAAGTTTGTCCTTTAGCATGTTAACAAAAGGAACTAAAATTAAAAACAAAATTACACGCACAGATATTCTTAATGATCATCTTAAGACAAAAATAAATAAAAAATACATAAATAAAAGCTTTATGAATAAAAAAAATACAATTATCTGAAAATGTTTATAATCTTATATGTATGATATTTTTTAGTTACCCCAAACTATCATTTTGACAATCTGCATCAATGAGTAAATGAAGCATTGAACAAACGTTCTATAATAGGGCAAAGGTAAAGTTGGCATTACAGCACACACACACACACACACACACACACGCACACACATACACATATATAAATAACCTTTTTATAAGAACTTATATGATCCGTACGTGTTGTTTACCCCCTACAGTTTTCGCCTTCTAGTCTTTACAAAATATCCCGGGTGGTGAATTGACCCTTCTTTCAACACTCAAACTACATCTTTTAATCTGTCAAAATGTTCTCCCTCTGTTGACGTTGCCGTTTTGTTCCAGGTGGAAGATACTTTTTTGTTAGTCTTAAGATGTAATAAAGCATAAGATATTTTAAGGAAATGACACTACGCGAGTTCTAGACTGGCTACCAGCCCCTAAGTTTTTATGAAGAATTTCGCGGCTGCATTTTACTACTAGCTTATCTCCCCTAGTTTAGTACTTAGGATCAGACATCCAAGTGATCAAAATCTTCAGAGTTAATTTGTTTTTCTTAATAATTCAGTATTCTAGAGATGGAAGCCAGTCTACGCGAGTACATGCATATGGAAAGGTGTAATACATGTAACCACTTATATAGTGGGAGTGCTATTATTCTATAATGTTGTTTATACATGTATTGTAGGTGTGTACAAGCACACAACTGGTCAGGCCCTAGGAGGCCATGCCATCAAACTCCTTGGATGGGGAAATGAGGACGGATCCGACTACTGGCTTGTGGCTAACTCATGGAACCCCGACTGGGGAGATAACGGTACGTAATCAGATAACCTAAACCTATACCGAGATATTCACCCTGTTTACCAAGTTATTCACCCTGTTTACCAAGTTATCGGCCCCTTTTACCAAGTAATTGACCATGTATATTAAGTAGTTCACACTTCATACCAAGTTGTTCACCATGTATACCAAATTATTCACCCTGTATACCATGTGATTCACCTTGTATACCAATTCATTCACCATGTATACCAAGTCATTCACCCGACATACCAAGTTAATAATCCTGTTTACCAAGTAATTAACTCTGTATACCAAATATTTCACCTTGTATGGCAAGTTATTAACCATGTATACCAAGTTATTTACAATGTTTGACAAATTATTCAACCTCAAGTGAAATTGTGATGATTTAATGTGACATTCAGGGCCAGTTATACATATTATTTTGTGAAAAATGACACAAATAATTGAATGGACAAATTTATTAGGTAGGAATGTTCTCATTTGACAATCTGTGTAAGGTTTAAAAGTACCTTGATGGCATTTTGTTTTGGTTATTGACTTTTTTTTATGATGTAAATTGTCTTTTTGATGACTACTGATGCACGATTCTCACACGAAAATAGACGTCGTTCGTTAAAGATGGGTTACGAACTTCTTCGATACTGGAAAAAGTCACCAAAACGATTTGGTATATCTTCAAAAGAATGAGAAAAACTGATGAAAATCACCGGGAACCGGGAACAGTTTTAGTGTTCTATTCCGTCTTTGCGTATTGCAGAGTTATCTTCTCTTGTGAGCAGCTATTGATTGTTACGTCGTCATTGGTTTGTGAGAGAAAATTACGTCGTTTTCTCAAAAAATGATGACGTTACTCTCACAAACAAATGACTTAACAATCAATACCTGCTCATAGATTTGTATTATGTCTGATACTGTTTATACATGTATTAAGATAATATCAGTATGAATTATGTTAAAACTTTGAATATTGTAGGTTTCTTCAAGATCCTGCGAGGACGTGACGAATGTGGAATCGAATCACAAGTGGTTGCTGGTGAACCGAAACTCTAGATGACGTCATAGCGTCATCCCATCGCTGTATCGTTTATCTGTGAATATTTCAGACATCTCTCTAACGTTGTTTGTTACTGAATAAAACTTTATATTTCTTTATGTTTTAATCTTAATCACAACGGGATAAACTGATATTATGATTAGACTGATTTAATTCAAATGTGTTCAGAATTGTGAACAACTCGTCATTTTGTTACTCGATTATTGTGTCCTTGAAAAATGCAATATATTTCAGAATTATGAAAAATTGACTGATTGATCAAACAATATATTATATTATTGATTCGTCTCTCATTTTTGAAATGAGGGATTTCCCCAAAGATTACAGAGGAAAGAAAGACATCAAACGGCTGCAAACACGATCAGGTCCTTTTGAATTTTAATTGAAGGCATTTTTTAAAACTATTAAGAACAGTTCAAATATTAATAACGATAGAGTGGCATTGTGCCAAATTAATTATTAAGAACATCGGACACACCAAATTCGTTTTGTTTGTTAGTTTGAAAGTAATTGTCACTATGATAAAACTTGATCGTATACAAGCTATGATGTGTTACCGTAATTAAGCTGATTGACTATTGATTGAGTTCGTTTTGTAATTCTTTCTCATTTACTCCTATGTTTTGTATTTTGATATACAAGTCAAAGAAGTAATATCAACGGTCAAATTCCGCCTAACACGTGATCCTTACATACGTTATTTTATCTTGTACTATCCTGGGATGATTAAAAGGCATTATGAAAGGTCCAAGGGACATAACTCTGTCAGGCATAAATAACCAAATTATATAGGCGTTACTATACCTCCATACTTTATTACTGGTGATACGAGGTTGCTGCTTTCTGAATACTTTATGTTCTATATGAAAAGGAAATATCAGTAAATGAAAGCAGACTAATCGATGGAAATAATCAAGTACTAGCGGTAAATATGACCTAATATCACATAATTCATTGAAAAAACTACGCGTGTTTGATATGACGGGTAGAACAGATTTACTGACACTCGGGCTCTGTGAATATTGTTCAGACCAGCTTCGTAAATCAGGGATAGACCTCACCTGAAGTCGATAATTGTGTAAAAAAAAAATCGGGATTTAAATTGTTAATAAACGAGAGATTGTTTCTCTGGCCTAATACGCTACACGCCTCGGACGTTCGACCCTCTGAAAGCTTACACTCGGAAAATGATTCGCTACGCCACTGACTAAGGCAAAGTATGAACAAAGAAAAGATTTCACGTCTGAAACACAAGACAAAAGAGATGTATCAGAAGAATAAACGTAAGGACGATAAACCTTTTCCTTTGTTTAATTTATGATTCCAATAAATATATATTGTTACGTTTTTTATAATATCCCAACACTGCCGCCAGTGTCACGTTTTGTATTATCCCCAACGTGTTACTTTCTGTAAGAATTGCGCCACTGCCACCAGTTCATATTAATTGAACAACACAATAAGTACATTGATATTTACACTTTATTTACAACACAAGTATTTTACTCCGTCATAGAATGTACAAGTGTTCACCATTGTGAAACAATCTCTCCACTCTAAGCTAATCTCCTACTATCAACTGCAATACTACACAGACCTAAGACTACAACTAAAACTTCTATTCTCACGAACTTCCTAATTCTCCAACTTTCTAACTCTCCTCTATGTCTCTAGAACTCTCAACTCGGTCTCCCTAACACAACATTTTCTCTCCAACTCTCCAACTCTACTCCTCTATTCCAACTCTTCAACTCTACTCCTCTGTTCAAACTCTTCAACTCTACTCCTCTGTTCCAACTCCCTAACTCTCCCAATCTGAACTACCTTATTAATCTGTCCCCTTAGCAAAATCCTGCTACATTAAAATTGTTGATAAGTTAGTAAAATGCTGCTAATATGACCCCTACACGACAAGGTTTAACAGGCCATACATCCTGCTAAATTTGACCCCAGGTCAGCATCAGCCGGCTGCGGAGGCACAAACAATACGTCACAGACTAGACTAGACTTCCACCCACCTAGACTACAGACGGTCACACCAATGTACAGATCCTAAACTATATCACAAGCACAATTATCTACGGCTACTTAGCTACTATCTTCAAATAAAACTCTGACACTGACCACGAGCCAAGGCTAATAAATGCATAGCTAATCATCTGTACACTTACTATAATGTCATCAGTTCCAGGTCATATTTACCACTCATTCTGACGTTTCAATCCGTAGAGTTTGTAGTACTCACCTTTCGTACAACTTTCTGTTAGTATTTGAAAAACATATATTAGCACCTCGTGTTTTACAAATGCATACACTTCACAATAATGGCGTCAATATATTACTTACACAAAACCCTCCGATTCCCATAGAAAACTCTCGCGCATAATTCATTCAGTTCACAGAGTACAATTTCATAAAATAAACGGAACCAGAAAAAAACGAAATATTGCATCTTCCCGTTAAAAAATCGTGGTTTCTCCCAATTTGTTTTTCTAAACTTCATGCGTTTTTGCCTTCTTTGTTAAAATTTCCTTCGGCTTATTACAGCGCTATTGATATTAAATTTCACATACTAAATTATTTCTTTCTACATGATAATCTGAGAATCCTTTCATATATTTGTGTTGACTGGTTTTCGAAGTATGACCAATTATTCAGATGAAATCGATTGTTCTTCCCTTTTTTCTTTGTCTTACAAAATACTGGTTATGGAAGTGAATTTTTCCCCCCTAGAGTAAATCACCATATTTTGTAAACATACAACGGTAAATATGAAAAAATGTCAGATAAACATCAATTAAGTATCTTTCAGTGTGTCCAAATTAATTTGATTGGCACAGTAATTGGCTCCAGGCATGTACATGATTAATTTGACTGCATGAAAAATGTTAGGGCGTTGAACTCATCCGGAGTTTGTCGTCGGTGTATTTTTCAGCATTTCGAATAAGATAAACAGCGATAAGAATTGCTGCAAGGCCGTACAATATTCCGCCCACCACGGCTAACGCGTAGGACCATGACACTGGAAGTGACGTCTTACAGCCGTAAATGATCACGCCCAGAATAGCACAGCAGGCTGAAGTAAAGAGAAATGTAATCTTCAGTCCAATATTTCGTATGAAATCAATCAACTTTGAAGAGCAAATAAATGATGTAAATTAAATAATTAATTAGTTCAATTATCGATTAATAACGTTTAAAATGAAGACAGGTCACACTCGCTTGATTGCACCGTTAAAACAAAGAAAATAGATACAGTATGTCAAAATGAATGACACTGCACCAGCTGGTGATGCCATGGACCATTATGTGCACATTGTGAGTTACTCAATCCATTCCCAAATCGTCAGTATACCCTACTAACGTTCAGCGTATTTATATTTGCATTTATGACTTATCTACAAACCTGTCATACGTACCATTTCAGTGTAAAAGCAATATTGTGAACCTGACAATGAGAAGTCATAGTTCATTTCGCCGATAAAGGGGGCAACAGCATGACATTGTAAACACAAAAGAACAATATTCGATTTAACAAATACGAACAATTAACAAAAGGAACACAGAGGACACCAATACATCTTAAATTGAGGTAGCCATTCGTGACCCAGGTCTTTTCCCCCTCAAAATAGTTCTCAAAAATGCTGTAAAAATAATCAAAATACAAGAGAAACACACTTGCCATATGAAACAAAAGCTTTCCTAAATATTTCACATTTTCATTTAAGTGTACATTGCCTTTGTACGAAAATCACTCTTTACATGGATAAAATGTAATATATCAATAAATTTATTAAAAATACATTTTGTATGATATTCTAATGTGCCAAAGACTTGATATTTGAATAAAACGTTTAAAAATATGTTTAATTAAGTGCTAGTTCTGCAGACTCTTGATATTTAAAGACAGTAATATAATATTGAACAAGAAAAAGATTAAGTTGACCAACATGATGATATTTGGAATATTTTAAGCTTATAGTGTAATTTTAGTGTAAGGATAAGAAATAAATTTGAGCACTTCACTTCACCGTATGCTACATACCTGCAAACACCACTGCTGCGAGACTAGCGATACAAAGGGAGATATCGTATGACGTCTGACTGATGAAGAAGTAGAGGAAGAGAAATAGGAGTCCTACACCTCCAATTACTAACGCCAATGTCTCGAGCGCCTGGGTCGCCTCGAAGTAACCTGTAACAACGGGTTAACATGTCAGCACTCAGACTTAAAGACTAACGCCACTGTCTCGAGCGCCTGGGTCGCCTCAAAGTAACCTGCAACAACGGGTAACATAATAAACAAATATATCGCTTCTACATTTTGCCACTAACATGTGTGACTTGTTAGCATAGGAAGCTTAAAAAGCAATCTGCAATACAGATAAAATCCAAAATAACTCAATATTAATCAATTCTTAGAACATTATATAGTTAATTCGATAAATTTGCAATGAATGTTTCCGACAATTTACAAATATAAATTACTAGAAGTCATTTTAATTTCACGTGTACTTTGTTTCGCAAACTATGCATGCAGACTTTATTCGCAAATACATTAACTTGTAGTCGATATGCTGTAAACTCAACATTTCTATTAATTATCAAACGATCAATCAAATAGAGTGAGATTAGAATCGGAAACCCTGTCTGGAGATTCTCTTATATTATAATTAACCAACTGAGCTATGGCGTTTCCAGCTGACGTCAGAATAGATCCGTTACGTATGGTATGACGTCAGCAGCACGTGGAGGTAATACTCACACAGGTTATTCGTGGTGGACGAACACACTTCGCCTCTACAGGCTTCCCACAATCCTGAGTGGTAATCGTCATATTCGGTCACCTCCCAGTATAATGTGAAGTAACCGAAAGCTTCACATATAACGCCAACAGTGTAAACAAGTAAACACGTTTTTGTTCCCATTTTTTTAAATAATTTCTTTTCACACAATTTAAAATCCCGATTAGTAAGGGCATCAAAGTATTCAAGTATGACAAAATATTCCACGATATAAATTATTGAATTTCAAAATAACGGCACTTAAAGAAGTTCCTCTTTTATATCATGACATTTTGTTGAGTCATTCATGTGTTCATAGTACCGTAAGTACAATATATACGTCAACACAAGAGGGATAACTTATATCGAAGTTTCAAAGCCACCAACACATGTTCCGAATGTCAATAGGACGTACCAAAACAACTCTGATACGCTTTTATCAGACTAGCCTATACTTTAATTACCAGTACAGATTAATCGACCGGGGTCATGAAGCCTATTTGTCATCGACACCGATATAGCAAATTAACCTGATTAACTATTCTGAAACTTATCAAATAGCCGCTATATGCTCGAATATAGTTAGTCAAGGAAAGATTCATAAATAATTGTTGTTGTAGAAAGTGTTCATGAACCTGCGGTAAAATGTTACCTCAGCGTAATCTATGTGATATCGTTCGTCTCGTCATCTGAAATGGTTGCTGTATTTATTCCGCATGTCGGACTAGAATGCCGTTCATTCACGGGTCTAGCACGGTCACGTCATGTCTTCGACCCTACAGTACAGTTCGTTCACGGGGCTAGCACGGTCACATCACGTTTTCGGCCCTACAGTGCAGTTCGTTCACGGGTCTAGCACGGTCACATCACGTTTTCGACCCTACAGTACAGTTCGTTCATGGGTCTTATGAAGTTCTCACAGTCACACATGAATTATCATAGCATTTCATTATCATAGCATTTCATTATCATAGCGAATTCTTTCGAGTGTGTCGTGTTAAACACTCTTTCCTTGATGACACGCCATCTTAATGCGTATAAATAGATGATCTTACATTGGTTTTCATTTCATATGAGATTTATTAAAATAAATTTTTAATTTAGTAAGCCTCTGGCGAACTGAAATGAAAAATTCATGACGAGTTTCATACATTTCATATGAAATGATAACGAGTGTTATATCCTTTTTATCACATAATCAAGATTGGTGACATTTATTCGTGTAAAACGACAATTTTCATGCAACCTTGAAATGTAAAAAGCCCCATTTTGACTCCAGTGCGTAAGTCTATGACGTCATCAACTTGTCCTTGGCGTGACGTCAGAATTGAAACAATTGAAACTTACAACCAATCACAGGGCTGATAGGTCATATTACATGGGTTAATACGCAAACAAATATGACATGGGTATATTCACTGGATAACACAGTACATTATGTGATAAGTCTATATATCTTTAAATGAATGTATACAAAACTCGGATTGAAGTCCATATGATAGGAAAATTATACAAAACATTAAAAATCACAAGAAGATTGATTCTCGAGGTCTTTCGGTGTTATACAATATCTCCTGAAGAGATGTTTAGCATCGAAAGACTTTGAGCTCTTTAAACTTTGTATACATAGCCTTCCCCATTGTAGTGTGAGACTATCGTTGTGAAAGTAACCAGTATCTAGTTGCAACTGACGTCAATAAAAATCACATTTGGACTCACTAATTTATTTCATATTCCTATTTCATTATAGAAAGGAGTACATGTATTTCGTACAAACCACCATTTCATTTATATGTTTTGATATTTTTACATCTTTAGAAAGAGAATAAATTCAGCTAATCATAGACGCTATATGTTTCACAGACATGGCATTATGAAATCATGAACGGGATAGAACAGATGTGTATTGACTACTGGTGAGAATAACTAGTTATATCCTATAGACTGTATGTCCCTTTAGCAAAAATAATTTTTAGACGCTCTTTTAGCTAGAGTTGCTCTGTTTTATGGAATGAACTGAGTGATGTTATTAAACAGTCGTGGCGTGTAGGTGTTTTTAAAAAGAAATACATAGAAATGTTTTACAGTAAGTAATAAGTGTGATACCTAATGATATCTGTGATATTTACAAAGATTGTAAGATTGTATTTATTATCATTCTACCATTATAATTGTTTTATTTAGTCTGTACATAATGTATACTAGACTATGTCTAAATATGTAACCATGTAAAAAAAAAATAATAATAAAATAAATAGACTCCTGTATTATAAACAGACTCTTGCTTATCAACATAAAAACTTTAAACCAAGTATACCTGTTCAATTGGATAGGTATATCAACTGTGTCATGACTAATCTTTTTTTGTTTGTTTGTTACTAAGTCGTTAAGTCTGCCATACTTTACAGCAAAAATAGTTTATTACAGAATGCATATAATAAAACATTCCATTCATCATGACCAGGAATATACAACAAGGAATTTGCAACCATTCAGTTCTAAATATAAGTTTATTGTAATACCGCTATGTGTCATTCAGAAATCGTTAAATGATTTCTGTGACATTTATATATTTGTGTTACATGTTGCTCTTTTATGTTATATGTTATGTGTTTTGTGTTGATTTTCTTTACTTGTACTGCTTATATGCTTGTTGTTTGATCTTCGATAGCTTCAACTTGTGATTGTTGTGGAAACCAAATTGGAACAGGCTGGATATTTGTGGATCATACAGGTAGGTAAAGTCATCTGGTATTGTAAATATTGATGTCCATTTTGGTTCCATGTAAAGGTGGGTTTTCATGTTTTTGTATTTATTTTGATTTTCAGAAAGTTTTTTTTTAGATTGCATACCACTTGATTTTTGTATATTTAGTTTATGTTGTATTGATCCATCATGGCTATGGAGGGATCATTCTCGGAAAAGGATATCAAGGTGATTACAGCTACACTTGTAGCTATGGGTTACAAATCAGAGGAAGGACAACTTTAATCTGAGGAACTACGGTCCTTGATTAAGTCTAAGGAAGGTGCTAAGGATGTCAAACAGGAAGATGGTGCTACTTCCGCTTTACCTACCCCTACAGTTACTGTCAATCCACCTCCTTTCTCCGGTGAGGAAAAGGACACACCATATAACTTATGGAAATACGAGGTGGAATCCTTGCTAGTATCCAAGGATGAGGATGTGGTGGCTTAGGCACTTCGTCGATCTATGAAGGGTAGAGCTGGAAGAGTTGTAATGCACATTGACCAACAGCCCCTGTGAAGAACATTCTCAACAAGATGAACAGCATCTTTGGTACTGTGGAAAAGGGTGAAGCACTTTTAGCACAGTTTTATAGTGCTCGACAGCAGGAAGACGAGGATGTTTCTTCATGGAGTTGTCGATTGGAGGATATCTTGAATAAGGCTGTGAGGAGAAGGGAGGTAACCTATACTGACACAGGAGACATGCTGCGTACCATGTTTTGGACTGGATTAAGACGAGATCGGAAGGATATCGACAGGTTGATCAGGATCTTAACAAGAGGAAGGAGGAGAGACGAGTTAACCCCAGCGCAGATGATTCCAAAATAAAGCCAAATCCTGCACACATGGCCAGTGCTGTAACGAAAGATGACTTAACAGAAATGAAGACAATGATTAAGCAGCTGACAACGGACATGGCCAAGATGAAAAGTAATGAGAAGCAGTACTCAAAATCTGGAGTTGCGAAACCATTCCAGCAGCAGGGGGAACAGAAACATGTACAACAACCAGAGACATTAGAATCCTATAGTGATGGACCCCTGTGTAGGCGATGTGGCCAGAGAAAATATATTAGACTTGGATGTCGTGTACGACTTGACCATTGAAACGGGGACCAACCTATGAAGAAGGGAAGTTCTTAGGCTTGGAGAGGAGATCCCTAAACAATGCTATACAACCAGACAGGAAACAGGTACCTGGAAAGTTGGTTGGTTCCCCGAGTGAAACACAGGTGTTTATTGCAAGGAACAAAGTTCAGGCTTTGTTAGATACAGGATCTACTCTCTCGACTGTTTCAGAACAATATTATAGAAGTTCTCTATCCAATTGTTGCCAGTTGTTGCCTGTAACAGATTTCCTTAATGTAGAGTGTGCAGATTGAGGGATCACCATACCTGGAAACCATGTGTTTGTCTACCAGGATACTGGATGACATGGACACAGGACAGGATGTAGGGGGATATACACCTGCTCAGATGAGAAAACTTCAGCAGGAAGATGAAACTATAGTTGACATATTACCTTATGTAAGGAATCGACAGAGACCAATGAAAAAGAGCAGTGAATTTAAGATGTATTCCAAGAACTTTGACAACTTAACATTAATGAGAGGTGTTTTATACAAAAAGACGAATGAGGAAAGACCACAGTTGGTATTACCATTACGGCTGAGGCGAAAGGTACTCCAAGCCATACACAATGATGGTGGTCATCCAAGACGTGATCGGACTACTTCAAGCATACTAGACAGATTCTATTGGCCAGGGATGCGCAAGGACAATGATGAAAGGGTCAAGCTGTGTGATCGCTGTACTCGAGCAAAGACACCGGCCAGGGCACGTGCTCCATTAGTCAGCATAGAGACCTCACAGCCGTAGAACTTGTGTGCATTGATTTCCTAAAACCATTGAAAGGAAATTTCCAATATCTTTTGGTCATCACCGACCATTTCACAAGATATGCGCAAGCTGTACCTTTACGGAATATGTCTGCTCATACTACTGCGGATGCCCTATACAACAATTTCTTTGTACATTATGGTATTCAAAACGAATCCACTCTGATTAAGGTGCAAATTTTGAAGGAGAGGTGATCAGGGAACTTTGTTCTTTATTAAGAATAGAAAAGTCAAGATCGACTCCATACCATCCTCAAGGAAACGGAATGTGTCAGAGATTTAACAGGACTTTAATGGATATGCTCTGCACTCTTGATCCTCAGGAAAAGAGCAATTGGAAAGCTTTTATTGGACCTTTCACCCATGCATACAATTGTACAAGACACGAAACAACCAGATACTCACCATATTTCCTAATGTTTGGCCGTCAACCCAGATTACCAGCGGATGTTGCTTTTGGCGTTACTCACTCATGAGGATTCTAATTCACCTCCAAGCAATGCTATTGCCTACAGCAAGCCTATCATTTGGCTTGGTCTAATGCTGGTCAGGCCCAGGGTAAACAGAAGGAGAATTATGACTTGAGAGTACGTGGTGCCACTTTGGAGCCAGGTGATCGAGTACTTGTAAAAGTCCTAGCATTCCAGGGACGCCATAAAATTGT